CTGGTCTTGAACTCTTGGTGTCAAGCAATACTGCCTTGGCCTCTGAGAGCACTGGGATGATAGTCATGAGGACCAAAAGCATGGTCCATGAAAGAAAAACATCAATAGGTTGAACTTTATTAGAATTAAGAAGAATTAAAAGACAGCACATGCTCTGCAAAATTAGCACATGCCTGGAGTCCCAGCTACTCGGGAGGCTGAGATAGGAGGATCGCCTGAACCCAGGAGTTTGAGGTTGCTGTGAGCTAGGCTGATGCCACGGCACTCACTCTAGCCTGGGCAACAAAGTGAGACTCTGTCTCAAAAAAAAAAAAAAAAAACCAAAATCCCAGCAAGTTATTTTGTGAATATCAACAAATTGATTAGAAAGTTTATATTATAAGGCAAAACTCTGGAAAAGCCAACATAATATTCAAGGAAAACAAAGTCAGAAGGCTGCCACTATACCTAACTTCAAGACTTACCATAAAACTATAGTAATTGAGACAATATGGTATTGACAAAAGAATAGATCAATGGAACAGAACAGACTCACAGAAATAGACTCATACAAGTATAGTCAACTGATTTTTGACAAAGAGTAAAAGCAATTCAATGGAAAAAGGACAGCCTTTTCAACAAATGGTGCTGGAACAATTGGACATCTCCATGCAAAAAAACCACAAAACATCTAGACATAAACTTCACACCTTTCACAAAAGTTAACTCAAAATGGATCATAGACCTAAATATAAAAAACTATGAAACCTCTATAAGATGACATAGGAGAAAATCTAGGCAACCTTGGACTGGGTGATGACTTTTTATTTTATTTTATTTTTTTGAGATGGGGTCTCACCCTGTCACCCAGGCTGGAGTACAGTGGTGCTATGTATGATAGCTGATTGCAGCCTCAAACTGCTGGGCTCAAGTGATCCTCCTGCCTCAGCCTCTGAAATAGCTGGGACTACAGGTGTGCACCACCATGCCTGGCTAATTTTTTTAAAAATGTTTTTGTAGAGGTGCGGCCTTGCTTTGTTGCCTAGGCTGGTCTTGAACTCTTAGTGTCAAGCAATACTCCTGCCTTGGCCTCTGAGAGCACTGGGATGATAGGCATGAAGACCAAAAGCATGGTCCATGAAAGAAAAATATCAATAGGTTGAACTTTATTAAAAACTGCTCTGCAAAAGACAGTTAAGAGAATGAAGAGGGCCAGGTGCAGTGGCTTATGTCTCTAATCCCAACACTTTGGGAATTCGAGGTGGCAGGATCACTTGAGGAGTGAGGCCAGGAGTTTGAGATTAGCCTGGGCAACATAGTGAGACCTCATCTCTATTTAAAAATTAGCCAGGCATGCAAGAGGATTGCTTGAGCCCAAGGGTGGAGTGGTGCTCAGAGCAGGACCCAGTCTCTAAAAAAAAGAGAAGCTGAGCTCTGGAAAAGAATATTTGCAAAACACTTATCTTATCTGATAAATCACTTGTATACAAAATACACAAAGAGCTTTTAAAACTCAACAATAAGAAAACAGACAACCCAATTTAAAAATGGATAAAAGGTCTGAACAGATACCTCATCAAAAAAGAGATAGGAGATAGTAAATAAGCATATGAAAAGATGCTCAACATGCGGGAATTGCAAATTAAAGTAACAATGAGATATCATTACATAGCTATCGGAATGCTAAAATCCAAAACAGTGACCATATCAAGTGCTGATGAGGATGCACAGCAACCGGAACTTTCATTCATTGCTTGTGGGAATACGAAATGGTACAGCCACTTTTGAGGACAGCTTGGCAGTTTCTTACAAAGCTAAACACAGTCTTACCATATGATCTAACAATCACACTTCTTGGTGTTTTACCCAAATGAGTTGAAAATTTATGCCCACACAAAAACCTGGCATTCCAAAATGTCAAAAACTTGGAAACAACCAAGATATCCTTCAATAAGTGAATAGATTTTTTAAAACTCAGATACATCCATACAATGAAATATCATTCTGTAGTAAAAAGAAATGAGCTATCAAGCCAGGAAAAGACTTAGGAACCTTAAATGCATATTGCCAAGTAAATTAAACCAGGCTACAAACTATATGACATTCCAGAAAAGGCAAAGATATAGATGGTAAAAAGATCAGGGATTCCAGGGAGGTGGGGATGGGGATGAAGAGGTGGAGCATAGGGGATTTATAGGGCAGTGAAGCTGTTTTGTATGATATCTACTTGTGGATATATGACATTATGCTTTTGTCAAAACCCATAAAACAGTACAACACAAAGAGTGAACCCTAATATAAACTATGGACTTTAGTTAATAATAATGTATCAATATTAGTTTATCAATGATAACCAATGTATCACACTAATGCATGAAGTTAATGGGAGAAACTGTCGGGAAAGAGAGGAGGTGAGTGAGAAAGGTATATATAGGAATTCTGTACCTTCTGCCAATTTTTCTGTAAACCTAAAATTGTTCTAAAAATAAAGTTTATTAATTTAAAAAACAAATCTCTACCATGAAATCAAAGACTCTTCACCATCAGGGCAGTACTATCCTCCCCAGCCTTAGCTCCACAAAATCTTGCCATACATACTTTACATTTTTGAACTTCTCATTGTTCCTAAATGTGCTATGCCATTTTTTGGATCTATACTAATGCACTTTGCTTAGAATATTGCTTTCTTTATTTGTTGACTGGCAAACTCCTATTCATCAAAGTAAGCACTGCTTGCATGCCTACCACATGCCTGACCTATCAAAATTCTTACTGTAAAGAAACCCACAGTCTATTGGAGAGACAACTCAAACAATCATTATAAATATTTTACTAAAATGATTAGGTTCATCCAGTTTTGTTATTTATAGTCCACAGTATCAGAATTATGGTCACGTGTTACAATAGCTTCTGGAATCTTCTCTGTTTCTTCAGATGGTAACTTTGCCACTGCACAAGTGTGGAGGGATGAAATGAATGTTGGCGTATGAACTATCAAATATATTGCCAATGTATAGTCCCACATAGGTAATGTGCCCATTCCACAGTGTAGGAAACAAGGCTCAGGGAAGTTCAGGAATTTGGGTAAGGTTGCTCAACTAGAAGGTCACACAGTTGGGATTCAAACTCAGTGCTTTGAAGGAACAGAATTCCTACCACCTGCTGGTGGCTTCACCCCAGACAGCCCAGAAAGTAGCTCCAACAGGGAGTTTATTTCAGATTGGAGGCTGGTCTGCCTGAAAAGCCAAGCTGAAATCTAGCTGGGTCTGTCCATGAACAGAAGGTTTGAAAAGATCCTCCAATCCTATGTGTAGAGGCTAAAGCAACTCCGTCTTGGATGCTAATTTGCCATGGTGACTTCTGATTAACCCAGTTCCGGAATGCCCCTAAGATTTCTACTTTCCTGTACTTAGCAGAAATCCTACCCTTAGGCAAATTCTCTTTGGTAAATAAGCCCTGGGTCTGCGGGGTAATGACTTGGGGACCCATAGTCTTGCAGCTGCCCAAGACATGCCTTTTGTTCATAAGTTCCTATTTAATGTTTCTTTCTAAGAAAATTTGTTAGTCTCTTTCTCCAGCCTCTCAGTTCCCCCAGCCTTTGAGGATAGGTTTGCATAGATGTACTCACTGTGGAACACCATGAATAAATGGAGGAACTGGCCTCAGTCTACTCAAAGCCTCAATGTGGCAGAGAGGACTTGTCATTAGTTTTTACACTCCTGCATCCTCTGCCTAGCACTGTGCCTGACCCACAGCAAATGCACTTTAAATATCTGCTGGCTAAGTAAAAATAAAATAAAGGTCCCTATGTTCATTAGGTATTTACCCCTTTTGAAGTCACTTTTACCTGCACTGTCTCTTTGACGTGCACATTATTCCCAAGGACCACATAGAACAGAATTCATAGCCCTTGTGCTATAATGAAGAAAAGGAGTCAGGAGCAGAATCCAAGTCTCCTAATGTCCAGCCCAGAGCAACGTCCCGTGTCTCAGGGACACAGAAAGCAAAGGTTCAGTGAGGAGAGATGGTCAAAGCAAAGAGGCTAACATTTATCCTGCACCCACTATTGTTATTATCTAATTTAATGTTCACAACGGTCTTGTGGGGTAGATATCAATATTTCCATTTTAAAGAAGAGAAAACAGGCTCACCAAAGTAGTCACTTGCCTAAGATCACAAATTTTTTATTTACTTATTTATTTGTACAAATGTATGCAGTACATGAGAAATTCTGTTAGATGTATACAATGCATAGTGATCAAGCCAGGGTATTCTGGGTGTCCATCACCCGAGTACAAAACATTACAATACAATACATTTTTGTTAAGTATAGTCACCCTATTCTCCCATCAAACACTGAATTTATTCCTTTTATCTTACTGTATGTTTGATAACCCTTTAACCCACTTCTCTTTATCCTCTCCCCTCCCCCTGACTCACCCTTCTCAGTCTCTGTTATCTATCTTTCTACTCTTTTTTTTTTTTTTTGGAGATAGTCTCACTCTGTCATCCTGAGTCGAGTGCCGTGCCATCAGCCTAGCCACAGCATGGTGAGCTTCTTATGCTCTGCTCATCATTGTCCTCCTGTGTCTTTGTCTGAAGTTCATGCCCACCTGCCAGATATGCTAGGAAAAGAATTTCTGCATAACTTGGCCCAAGTTTTCTAAAAGGCAGTGCCAAGGGAAATAGCTTACAGGCTAACCCTTTATTGGGGTAGAAGGTGTAATTCCAGGGTAGCAGAAGTGAGAGGAAAGTGGAGCGAGGCAGAGGATCAGTGAGATAAATATGTGAGCATGGTACCGAGCTAGTCACAGCTTTGAAACAGGTGTTGCTGATTGCTCAATCTTGTGGGCTTCCTTCAGAAACGCTTGTGAATTATGTCTTAGAAGAGTCTATTCAGCAGGACAAAGGGAGAAGAATGGACCCAATAGTTCCCTGTCTCCCACTGGCCAGAGTCCGCCCCATGGGTGGTTAACTTTCTTGCACTGTGGATTGCATTGCCCAGTCTCTGTGTAGCCAGATTCCCTGAGAGAAAAATTGAGACAATGGACTTCTCCATCTGCTGTGGTGGCAGCAGCAGTGGTGACCCCTGGCTCTATGACCTTGGGAATGGTTAAGATGTCACTTGAGCCACTGTGGATAGAGAGTGAGGTAAGCACACAGGTGGCACAAACTGAGTCTACTCTCTGCTCTGAGCCAGGGCTTGAGCCAGAAGAAGAAATAAATCATCTAAGAATAAGGGGGAAACTCAGTATGACTGAATGCTTGTGCTTCCCCCAAATTCATAGGTTGAAATCCTAATCCCCAAGGTGATAATATTTGGGGATTGGGCCTTTGGGAGGTACTTAGGTTATGAAGGGAAAACCCTCATGAATGGGATTAATGTCCTTATAGAAAAGACCCCAGAGGGCTGTCTCATGCCGTGTGAAGACTCAGCAAGAAGATGGCCCCGTATGAACCAGAAGGCAGGTCCTCATGAGACACTGGTCTACTGGCACCTTGATCTTGGACTTCCCGGCCCCCAGAAAGATAAATGTCTATTGTTTATAAGCCACTCAGTCTGTGGCATTCTGTTCTAGTGGCCCAAACAGAACAAAACAGAAGGGAATAAGAGAGGAGCACCGCTATCTAGCCCTGGGATGTGGTCTAATAATGGCAATGGATTCTGAATGAGCACTTAGTGTGGGCCAGTTTGCATTTATGATATCATTTAATCCTCTCAAGCCCCTATAGAGCAAATATTATTTCCTACATTTTACAGATGGAACTGAGGCTCAGAGAGGTTAGAGAATTGGTCCAAGACTCCCAGGGGGCAAATGGGAAGGGAGGATGGGCTCACAAGCCTCTTGGTCTCAGAGCTCCTGCTCCTAATCACATGCCACACCCCAGCTGCTCTCCCAGGGCACCTGAAAGAAGGTGCCTTAAGACACAAAGCAGGTGCTCCACACGTCCATACGGCTGGAGTGGGCAGGCCAAGCTCCTCCTTAATAACCAGGGCAATGTGCAGTCATCTCAAGAAAGCAAACAGGTTGTCAGTGAAATGCAAAGGCGTGTTGGACAACAGACTTAGTCAGGAATGTTTGAAGGCTCAGTGTGGTTCACTGACCTCCCTAGAAACATCTCAATTTACAATAAAAATTACACATTTCATTCTGAATGTGTAAGTAGAGAACTGTGTGGGAAGTTTTCTGCCAATCTTTGAAGGCAAAGAAATAGGACTGTAGCCAAAAAGCAGTACTGAATGGAGTGCTCCTGATGGGGACTTGTGGAACTTTGGGATGCTGGGTGTGCTGCTTCCGGCCAGCAGAGGAGAGGGGGAAAGGCAACGTCCAATGTAGCAAACACAGTGACAGGACATGAAGGGTCTGGGAACAGCGGGGCAACGTCCTGACCAGAGGCACCCCCGCATTGCCTCTGAGCGTGGAAGGAAACGCTACAGCATGTGAATGATTCAGCAAGAAACTGGTTCACGATGCTGAGGTCTCCTCTTTCCTGGTGTTTATCAAATACCATGTAGAACACACAGAGTGATGTTGAGAGTTGACCCTGCCATGGGAGCTGCCTTAACTGCCAGCCTCTGTGGGCCCCCACCAAGCCTTCCAAAGCAAGCACGTGGATGTCTCTGCCAAGCCAACTCAGGCTCCTATGCATGGTGTCTGCAAACACTTTGGAAACATGGAGGGAGATGAAATCCTCCCCCTCTCCAATTCAGGGATAAATTGAAGACCAAGTTGAATATCAAGCCTAAGTTGGCAGGGCCTAGAAGGATATTTCACTCCTTAGCTGCCACAGGCAGGAGTGAAGAGGGCCTTGCAGGGATTAGTGCAGCCAGCACCGGGAGGTCACCGTTCAACTCCTGGGAGGTGGTTAGGAGAGAGAATCTAGGGACTGTCTGGGAATAGGAAACTGTGAAGTCATATCAAAGATCAACCTTTCAGATTTGGGCTGAGGTATCTTGATAGAAGAAGCAGGCTGTAGGATGGAACAGCCTCCCATTGTTTAGCATTTGGCTGCCATTTGGAGGGCTAAACACTAGCCCTTTGCTAGCTTTGAATACAAACATGAAGGAGGGGGCCCCACCCCCATATGGTCCTCTGGCCTCATCGTGCCCATTCTCTTACAAAGTCCATACTCCTGAGTGTGGCACGCAGGGCCCTTCTCTAGGTGGCCTCAGCACCCCACACCCTTTCCCTGTGACTGCAGCCTTCACTCCTGTCCATGAGGCACAAGGCATATTTGCTACTCCCCAAACACACCACATTCCCTCACGCTTCTGTGCCTTTGCTATGCTGTTCGCTCTGCCTGGAGCACCTTACTCCCTTTTGTGGCTTAGCTAACCCCTGAACCCACTGCAGTTCTCACCTTGCTTGGGAAGCCTTTCATTTCATGCAAATCTGGGAGAGTGTCCTCTGAAGGACTCTCATGATACCCCATGCTCGGCCCGGGGTGGCCTTTATCAGTTTGTATCGTGATTCCCCGTTGATCCATCTGTGTCCAATTGGTGCCACACAAGCTGACTTCTCATCTCTTTGGAGGACACCACTTCCTCGGCCCTTCTCTCTCTCTCTCTTTTTTTTAAGCAGATTGCAATCGTGTTCATAACAAACTCAACACGTAAGAATGGACAGATTTTTTTCAAAAAACAACCCAGGATGTTTCACACTGTCAGGAGTGGTTCTTTATGATGTTTCTGAAAAATAGTGGGAAGGGAAGCATGAACACCTGGATGTGAACACAGCTGTTTCTAATTATGAGGGGCTGTTTGTCTTCAAAGCAGAGCGAACACTGGGGTGCTCTTGGGAGTGCATCTTCCATGATACTTGCTCAGGATCTGCCTCTGCCCTTCTCTTAAAGGTTGATGTCTCTCGGGGCTCTCTCCTGGGCCTTCATTTACTGCTGGTCTATGCGCGTCCCATGGGAGGTCACATCCACACCAGAGGCTTCGTGCACCTCCTGTCAGTCGGCACCTCCAATCCTCCTCTCCAGCCTGGAACTCACTCCTCAGTGCCAGACCCATCTATCCAGACTCTACTGAAATCTAATTCTTCCGTTCAACAAACATTCTGTTGACTATCTCCTGTCTGCCAGACACTGCTATAGGTGCTGGATGTACAGTAGTGAGCAAAACAGACAGGAAACCCCACCCTCATGAAGCATGAATCTTACTAGAGTACGGGAAGTCAGATAATAAATAAATGCAGAGGATGTGAGAGCTACCCAAGGGTGGTGAGCAGAGGAGGGATGTCATCTACTCAGATTTTCAAAAGATCACTCTGGCTGCTGCGTTGCAAACAGACTGGGAGAGGGGATGGGGCAGAGAGAGGCAGGAACAGGGATACCAGCTGGTTGACATCTGCTTTAGAATGCCCCGCCGGCACCTTGGACTCACAACTCCAAAACTGAACTCACTCCCTTTCCTCCAAGCTCGCTCTTCCTGTGGAGCTCTGCAGCTCGGGGAGGGGAGCCCGGCTCTGCCAAGGACTCCAGCCAGAGCTGGGCGCCCCCACCACTCCAGCCCTTCCCCTCGCATCTAAACAGTCACAAGTCCTGTCCCCTCTAGCTCCTGAACACCTCATTCACTCATTCACCATTTCACTCATTCATCAGACATCCATTGGAGAGTTGCCATGTTTCAGGCCAGTACTGGAGAGGTAGACCCTCTGTATGGAGCAATACATATATGATTTCCTGTCATGCTAAGGAATATCAAGATGAACCAGTTTCAACAAAGGAGAAAAATATGAGAGAAGCTCTTTGATAAGATGGCCAGAGAAGAGCCTCCTAAGGAAGAGAGAGGGCTGGGAAGGGACGCGACGTGAGTGAAGAATGGTGTAGTAGTTTCCTAGGGCAGCCGTAGCAAATTACCTCAAAGTAGGGGGCTTAAAACAGCAGAAATGTATTCTCTCACCATTCTGGAGGCTGGAAGTCAGAAATCAGAGGACTGGCAGGGCTGTGTCCCCTCCAAATGTTCTAGGGAAGAATCCTTCCTTTACTCTTGCCAGCTGCGGTGGCCGCTGGCAAGCCCTGGCGTTCCTTGGCTTATAGACACACCACTCCAATTTCTGCCTCCGCCTTCACATGCCCTGTTCCTTCTGTGTCTGCATCTGTGTGCGTCCTTTCCTCTTCTCGTACGGATGCCATTCATTGGATTTAGGGGTCACCCTAATCCAGCATGACTTCATCTTAACTAATCACATGTACAAAGACACTATTTCTAAGTAAGGTGGCAATTTTGGGGAGACACTATTTGACCCAGTACAAATGGTGAGATCTTTTTCAGGCATATGGAGCAGTTTTCACACAATCCCTCACGTAGAAAAGGGTTTGGAGTATTTGGGGCCAGTATGGCTGAAGTGTAGGAGCCAGGAGTACTACCGACCCAGGTGGGCTTGGAGACAGAGGCAAAGCCAGATTACGGAGGGTTGTAACAGGGAAAGGGCGAAGTGTAAGGGAAATTTCCTCTTCAGACAGAAGACACTAGAGTATATATTAACTAATATGCTGAGAGAGAAAAAAAGAGAGAGAGAGAACACGAGACACCAATGAAATGATGTAGAAGAGCAGAGACCCAAACAGAGTCTGTGAGAAGGTGGCCAGCAACTTCAGAATTGAGACAGGTTGGCCTGTGATGGGAAGAGGGTTTGGGAGTGGAGGAGGGAAGGCAGACACAGAGGCAGATGGTTCTGATGGGTGTGTGTGTGTGGGGGGGATCCTTTCTAATGGCTTCTATTTTCTCAACTTCATTGGCGAGGGCTGGGGAGTGGAGGAGAGGGAGCCCACGTCTGGAGGACAGAAGATCACTTGCAATGGTTGTCTTGGAGAGTGAGAAATCAAGCTTGCCAGGATTGCCGGGCAGTGTTGAAAGCCCATTCACGGTTTGAGGTTCTAGAATATGTCTGTCTGTCTTCATCCCCACTGCCATCGGACTAGCTCAGGCCATCATCACCTGGTGATTGCAACCACTGCCCGCTGGGGTCTTTTCTCCCCTCTTGTCCCTTGCCCCCGGTCTATTCTCCACGTTGCTGTCTCCACGATCATTCACAGTTTACGCGGCATCACTCTCCAGCTGAAAACTCTTTCACTAGTTTCCCATTTCTCAGGAGAAAATCCAGAACCTTCACTGTGGCGAGCCCTCACCGGCTGGCCATGCTTGCTTCTGTGGCCTCATTCTTGCCACTTCCACCCCAGTTCCGCATTGTAGCCACCCAGAATGGCTTTAAAGTCCTTGAATGCGCCGTCCTCTCTCCCCCATCCCAGGCATTGCACTTGCTGGTCCCCATTCCTGAATCCTCTCTCCCCTCCTGCTCTGGCCCTTCCGCTCGCTCCCCTCCCCTTCCCCAGCCCCCACTCTGAGTCTGGACGGGTTTTCTGTCCAACTCTCCGTGTTTCCCTTATCAGAGCAGTTGCACCTTATAGGGTAATTGCTTCTTTACCTATCTTAGGTCCTTGTAAAACTATAAACCCCCTAAAGTCCTATATCTATGATTTTCATATTACCTGACACATAGCAGATACTTAAAAAATGTTAAATAAGTAAATAAATGAAAAGATTAAAACAGCTAATGTCTATGCTGAAAGTCGTAAGTAACTCAAAGCTTTAGAAGAGTTGGCTCTGCTTCCCGTCAAAGCACAATGGGATTGACCTTGACACAGGGGATGTTGGGGAACCCTACTCTGCATGGCCGTCTGGACTCAGCTCCCCGTGTCAGGCTCTGGTTCTCAGCTGGGCTTCTGACTTCCTGCGGTGAAATGCATGACGCTTGTGAGGGTTCCTTGCAGGATAATCCCTGCCAAGTCTTTCTGCTCCTATGCACCTCCTGTCTCTTCTGTAAACAGCAGCCTCTGTTCTCTGGTTATAGGGTATGCTTTGATTTATGAGTGGTCACCAGCTTCTGAAAGCCTTGCAACAATGTATGTCTCATAGTTTCTTGGATCATTTGATTTTGAGTTCCCAGAAATTCTTTTTCTAAGCTGCTCTTTTCCTGTAGCATAAACAGCTTTGTTCAGACTTCCCACTCTGCCTTCCAGAAGTGTCCCAAGGATGGGGTTAGTCTCCTGCCCAAGTAGTCCCAGGGTAGCTTCTCAAATGACAATGGAGAAGCAGAAGATGCCCTAGTTTTTGTTTGGTGTTTTTTTCCTGTAGGAAGGCCCTCTGATTCTTTCTGGAAGCACGTTGATTCCAACAGCTCGTGCATGCAGACCCAGTTCCTACAACTTTCACCCATTCCACTGATGATAAAATAGTTTCCCTTCTCTGGTCTGGTCTTCAGAGCAGGCAAACCCCTACCAGCTTTTGTGTCATTAGTGAGTAAAATTGGCCGTCTTTAGCCCTTCTGCATGTTCTAATCAATGTACTGATTAATGTGCTCTGGGGTCAGATAAACAGATACAATTGCATTGACCTTTGCTAATTCCTCTATCACAGGAATAGAGGAAATAGAGAATTCCCATCCTCCTTTATTTTGTGTTGACCTCAATACCCATAAGCCCTTGTTAAAACAATCCTGCATTACTAATTTATACATTTCTGAATGTGCACTTATTTTGGTCAAAAAGCAACTATTTGCTCTTGCATAGTTTGTAAATATACTTTTTCAAAAAAACCCCAATGTTTTCACTTCTGTAATTGTTTGAAGAGTAGCAGATACAGTGTATTGTGTTCAACATTCAATACAGTGTTCAACATTCAATCTAACTGGTTTCTAGAATGCCTTCTGCACTACAGAGGTTAGAAAACTAACACGGTATTTCCCAGATGCCCTTGCATTGAGGGTTCCGGACGCGTACCTAGTCCAGCCATGCAGATGCACTCACCTGGGACTTGGTGGGCGGCAGCGAGACACAGCCTCTGATCTGTTCCTTTTGCTGGCAAGCATAGCCGGAGGTATTTCATTTCCCCACGTCTCATCTCTGGCTTTGTATGTGTTGGAAGGCAGCGGAGGGTCAGCAGCTTTGCAGGTAGGGAGTCTAGTGGGCATTGGGTAGTTCAGGATGTAGCAGTTGCAGGGACTTCCTGACCATGGTGGCTTCCTGAGGGTGGTGGGAGTGTCATGGTTCTGGAGTTGGGGGCAGGAGCGATAGCTTCCCATTTTGTCAGGGAGCTGCCTGGTTGTTTCTACAACCACAGTTCTTTTGGTGGCCAGTTCTGCAGAGCAATTTTGAGAGTCATCCTGGAAAGGTTAAACCCAGAGCCTGTCTCTTCAGCCCTTCCAGTAATTCTGTTAGCCGTTTAACGCCATATAGTAAGTCCCTTTCTGCTTAGTCTAGCTGGAATGGATTCTGTTCTCTGCAATAAAACCATGACCTATATATTAATACCATGGGAGTAGTTATTTACAACATTAAACATAGCTCCTGATTGGAAAGATTTTCAGACAAAAGAAGCAGCTATCTAAGAAGAGAGGCAAGATTTGGACTCTTTCTTGGCAGCTGCAGCTCTGTAGAAGCCAAATTATGGCTTTTGCCATTTGAGGCACATATACAATTTTCTGTGACAGTAACACCAATAGGATGTTGAGGGGTAAATGGGAGGCAGAGCTCTGGAGACCCTAACTTGCACATTAAACTTGAACTCATCCTAAGACCTAACTTACAATCCTGCAGGTCAGATTCCAGACCCACCTCACTGGTGCCTGGCCAGGGTTGGATCATCCAGTGTGGACAAGCACCCGCTCCAGCCACTTGACACCCAGGAAGTAGCAGGCGGTAGGCCTGCTCCTTTTTCTTTAGCATTATTGTCTGTTAGGTTTTATTATGTTTCATCCCCCCCCCACCCTTCCCCTAGCTGCAAATTAGAGTGCTTATGGATGAATGTTTGTTTATATATGTCATGCTGCTGTCCCTTCGGGAACAAATATGTGCATTTGAGGCAGGAGACTGTGTTTGTTTTTTAAACTAAGTGGAACTGCCAAACACCCTCCGCCCAGATCATGGAAAGTTGCCCTATTAGGAGTTTACACAAGAAAAATCTGTGCCAATTATAACAGGTAGAGAGAGAGAGAGAGGGAGGGAGAGAGAGAGAGAGAAAGAGAGAGAAAGAGAGAGAGAGAGAGAGAGAGAGAGAAAGAGAGAGAACCCAAATAATCCTTTGGCAATTCTGAGTGTGACACAAGATTCACTTCCTTCTTAGCAATTTTGTGCCTCGCTCCTGATAATTTTAGGGTCTGCTATGTCTTTTGCTATGAGAATTAGCATCAGCAGCTTTCAAAATGACTTACCAGTTAGCCCCTCCAGAAATCTCAGGACATTATTCTTTTCTTCTCCAAATTTCCCATCTCTAAGCCTTCTAATTCTCCTTCAAATTTCCATCTGTAAAGTTAATACAATCCAATAAGAAAATAATGTGCTCTTGAGACGTTGACATGCTCAGAGCCATTTTATCCTGCCCTAAAGCCTGGAAAGTTTAAATTTTCCTTGGGATAAAAAAGTAAGAAATAATAGAATAATTCACTGTACTGTAACAATTAAATCCAGCAATTTAACATTGCACATTGGTAAATATAATGCTCGCAACAACCAAAAGTCTCCCATGTATTGACAGGCAAAACCAAAGTTATAAATCTAAACCTCCTATTCCGAACCACATTCCTAAATGTAAATAAGCAGCCAAGCATGCTGCTACATATCTTTACAGAAGCAATTACAAACAGCCTTATCAGTTGGTGCTAAGTCACCGGCGCACACAATGCTTATCTGCTATGCCCTCTACTGGATAGAGTACACAAGACAAGTCGCATTATTTCCAATTAATTTTTGGCATCATCACTCTGCATCTGCTTTAGGAATGCAAGGCGTGAAATTTATAGTAGCAGGTTTAATATTCCATCCAGCCAAAATCATTTCGCTACAAGGACTTACCTTTGGTGGAATATTTTGGGTGGCTTTTTTTTTTAATACATAGATTGCCTCTCCCCTTCTAACAACTCACCGTCCAAACTCTCAAGCTGTCACCAAACTCAGTACGTGGCAGGCATAATTTCATGCTGAGTAAAATGTGTTTAATTTCACATCTTGTAAGAATAATTACTTAGCATAATGCCACTTAAAATGTATTTTTATCTGCAAATGCTAATGAAGCTACAAAAACCTGAATCATCTTTTGAAAGAATTAAGATATTAAGGGTGCTTTGCTTCCACTCCTCCTTCTCCGGTAGTGGCTGCCTGAAGAGAGAAACTCAGACCCGAGGAATAATCTGAGATGAGACCTGCTGTCTTCAAGCTGGGTGTGAGTCCAGTGGCTTTGAGGGGAATTTAATCCCATAGGCCTCTCCTGAGCTGCCCAAGGTGCTGGAAACAGAGCTTTGGGCTCCCTGGATATGCCCAGTCCTCACCCAAGTCCCACTGGACAGCCACCAGGAGGGGGCTCAGGCCCAGGGCCAACTCGAGTCATCTACCCTAATGGTTGGCCTGTGGCTTCAGGGATCTCATCTCTTTGATCATTGGTGCACCTGAGTAATAAAGACTACTGTGCCATCTATTGTTAGTCCTGAGGCCTAAAGTAGTCAACGAAGAATGACAAGGAGTGGGGGGGGGGCGTGTTTTGCTTTAAACATTTTTTTAAAAACCCTTTTGATTTCAAAATAATTTTTGAATTGCAGACAATTTGCAAAAATAATTCAGAAAGGTCCTATCTACCCTTCACCTGACTTCACCTTTTGTTTGAGACACGGTCTTGCTCTGTCGCCCAGGCTAGTGCAGTGGCATGATCACAGGTCACTGCAACCTCAAACTCCTGGGCTCAAGCAATCCTCCTGCCTCAAGCTCCTGAGTAGCTGGGACTACAGGCACATGCCACCACATTCCGATAATTTTTAAAATTTTTTGCTATCTTGCCCAGGCTGATCGTGAATTACCAGCCTCAAGTACTCCTTTTGCCTCAGTCTCCCAGGATTATAGGCATGAGGCACAGAGCCTGGCTTTAAGCAGTATTTTTAATAGTAAGAAAGCACATTTGACTTCCTTGGTTGGGTAAAATGTAGCGGTGGTGAAGAAAGATCCTTTGGCAGATTTTTAGACTTGATTTTGGCTTTCTCTGTCTCTAGAATAGAAGTTACATAGGGGACAGGGCCTTAGTCTGTCTGGTTCCCATCTGAAAATCTAATACTCAGGCCTGGCACATTGTAGGATCTCGAAAAATGTTTATTGATTAAATGAATTAAAAAATAAGTGAATTAAGTACTCATTTGCAAAACATACTCTTGGGCACTCCACCCATTCTCGCTCGACAATAAAAGCACAATTATTATGGGATCTCATGGGATTGCTTTTAAAACAAGGTTCTAGTTTTGTTTGATTCTTGTATAGGATCACATGTTTGGTACAAATTAGCTCACAGTATTTAACAGGTTTCGACTCTTTAGATCAACTCTTTATTAGTTCAGGAGGGGGCGAGTAAAAGAGGAAAAGTATTGTCCTATTAAATGCTAACCCGGTGAAATAGGTCATCTTTATGTCTCTATCAAATGTACAAAATGCATGCAGCATGGTTCATGTGGTTACATCAGAAGGGGTCTTTGTTTCGTGAGAGGCATTAAATTTATTTGTCCCAAAGATGAAGGGCCAAATTACTTCTAATTCTGAGAATAAATGAAGGAAATTTAGGTGATTTCAAATGACTGAAGCAATTCAATAGATAACAAGTGTCACCAAGATTAGTTGTTATAATAATAGTAACAATAACTATTATTATAACAACTAATCTTGATGACACTTGTTATCAAGTATGTACTATAATAATAGTTATTGTTCCTATTATTATAGTACATATTTTTGCAAATTATACATATAACCCAAGAGTCAAATTTGGAAGAAATCATTATCACCTACACACTCAACTGGTAAGGTTCATAATTAGGAAATTAGACATTTTGGTCTTGAAGGAGGTCTCTGCCTTCTGAACACTTAACATTTTAAATAAAGTGGCTAAACCAAACAGAACAATCTTGAACACCAGCTCTAGGTGGTTTCAGTTTTACTGACATATTAATGCAAACAGCCAACACTATGAGTAGTTGAGGCAAAGTCTGATTCCCAACTCAATGAACATTCCAGTGGAGCTGGGACATATTTCTTCCTGTGAAACATAGAAATAGGATTGTGTTTTGAACTCTGCTTAGGAGGAAGAAGAAATATATAAACTAGTGCAACATTTTTCAAATTGAGTTGCCAGGAGCTGATTCAGCTGGAATGTAATTTATGCTAATAAGTTCCTGGATTTCAAAGTGACTTTTTTCTTATCACACTAAAACCCTTTAATTTAGGTATATATTCCTAAGTCCAGAATGGGTAGGGAAATTCTCAGTCAAAAGCCAGGGATACAACTAGCCCTGTCTAAAAGGAGCGGGGGAAAAAAATTATATTGCAGAGGGCTGGAGGGGGAGGAGAAAGAAGTTCAGTGTATGGCTTTTAAGCAATTTTCTGCAACATAGTTCTTGATTTCACACACCATTTACCTCTAGAAAAGTTTACCATCATTTTAACATAGCTTCATTATGTGAAGACTTTAATGTGTCAGGGATTTGATGGTGGAACATAGCTGGTATCATTTAACTGGGATGGAAGTGGTGAAATATACCAGATAGAGCCAAAAATCACATGTTCTAGTCCCAATTCTGAATTTAAATCTTAAATTCCTTCTTGAAAGGATTATATTATACATCACTAGCTAGCTGTGTGACATTAATCAAATCACTTATTTAGTAGAGGCCTCAGTTTCTTCATTTAGTAAACTAGATTATTTGTGATAGTTATATTACATGATCCCTTACTAATCCTTCTGACGTTAAGTTTTCCCAAGTCAGTGGCTTTCAAATTTATTCTTTACTGTGACTTTATTTATTTTATATTGTAACTCAGTACACACATTTATAGATTTATATGCAGATGTTTTTATATATGTACAAATACATAGTATGATATATATGTTACAAACACATGTTGTGTGTACACACATACATACGAAATGAAACAGAAAGTTTCATGGAACAATACTTACCCTTGTTTCCTCAAATGCATTAGGATATTTTTTATTCTATTTCATTAAGAAAAAGCTGGTCAGTTTCCACTATGTTGATGTCATGACTCAAAGTTTGATAATCACCTTAAATAAGCACATGTCTGCAAGTTGAGGAACTGCCTCCAGGTGACTCTGCAGGTTAATGGTTAAAATTCTGATCACTGAAAGAGGAACTTAACCGTGTAGAGATGAGTGCACATATTGAATGGATATACTGTAATTTTAGTGAAAAATTAAGACACACTAAATAAAAACAACCACTAAGTACAAATACTCTCTCCATCACTGAACCTACTTGTTTTAACCTCTGCATAACTGAACGTTGGCTTTTCATTCTTCTAAGAGCAAACTTTTTTTTGTAACTTCCTTTCACCTGCTAGACTGGCTCTTAGCTCTCCAAAGGAGCCCTAGTTTTTTGATAAATGGATCATCTTCCATTTATAAACAACACTTTTTAAATTATCTGTAGCTTTCGCTAGGGTAACTTAAAACTCTTGATTTTTTATATTAACTTCTAAAAGCACCATTAATAATGCAACAGTTTGTAATGTTTTCTTTCCACTTTCAAAACCTACTTTGAGGGGAGACATTATAAGGAGATTCTAGTCTTTGCATCTTTTGCCCTGTCCTTAAAATCCTCAATGGACCCACTATTGAGATTTTTGAGTTGAAGTTCTAGCACACCAGGATAACACAGGGAATTCTTGTGTCATAGATGGTACCCAAGGGTCCAGGGTAATAGGTTATTCATTTACGTTCCATAACACCATGATGCAGGGATGAGGACACTGGGTCTGATTTCGCAAGTAGTGTTTCCCCTTTGGTTTTAATTGCACACACTTTTGTATGTGAGTGACAACCACAGTTATTAAAGATAATTCTATCAGTTCTGTCATCTAAGGGAATATTTCATTTAGCTGAGAGAAATCTTAAATTCCTTCTTGAAAGGATTATATTACCAAAAAACCCCTTTTAGATAACACTTCTAAACAGAAGATGATTAGGATTTTTTATTTTAAAAATAGGACATAATCTCCATTTATTAGTTTTGATATATAATGTATATAATCTTAACTAATACCTATAACAATATATGTGATATATAATCATAAACGAATAGGTCTTCAAAGAAGTCTCTGCCTTCTAGACACTTAACATTTTAAAGAAAGTGGCTGAACCAAACAGAACAATCTTGAACACCAGCTCTAGGTGGTTTTAGTTTCTGGGAACAGAACTGAAACAATATAAAGATTGTACTATTTCTATCTATTGTACTTCCCCCACCCAATTTATACCAGAATTATAACAAATTCTAAACAATTAAACCTTAGATTTGACTTATTTCTATTTATCTTTTATTACATCTTAATTTAACAACATCATCCTCATCTAAAGGCAACTATGTACAAAAAAAGACTCGAGACTACTTGGTTGTTCTGTGAAGCTGGATCACTGGGAAAGGAGTGTGGCCCAAATATTTGCCTTTGTGTTCTTGACTTTATCTTGAAACTTTCTCAATCCTATCAACTTTTTAATGTTACCACAATGTCTATATTGCTGAAAATTAACCCTCAGCCATAATACTCAGGTTTTGCAGAAAAGAGCCAGAGAACTCCATTTTCAGCTGGATAACTGCTGGCTTCACATGTATGGTGTTGGAACCTCATCCTTTCCTCCCCTGTCCTTCCCACCATCACCACCTTGCTTGTTTGTTTTCTAATATGACATGAGCTCATCTTTCCAGTACACAGAATTTCCATCAGATATATATTACATTGCTGAAGAGGAATTGGAATTTTTTCTTTCCTGAAAACCCCCTTTTTCAGGATATATTTGTTAGTTGACTTTTCTATATCCAGGTAAGCACACTGTACTATTCCTGGAGCTTTTCAAAAACACCACCCAGAATGATCCAAATCAAACAGACCTTTAGAGGGTACTGACAATGACGTCTTCATTGAATATGATCACTACTAAAGCCTTAGCTCCTTGTTTGCTCTGTAATGCTGTGCCAAGATCTTGGCCTTTAGCTGTACCCAGAATCCCTGGAAACATTACTTATTTCATTGTTTGTGAGCATCAGCTTTAGAATGGTTTTACATCCACAACAAAATTTGAGGATGAACAAAGTAGTGTGAATCTCTTACTGAGCTGGAATTGTTTTCTTTACCTAAACATATGACTTGGAGCCAGTTAGAAGAACAGAATTTTAAGTAATACCCTATGTTGGTGCATTTATAAAATATGCCACAAGTAAAACAGAATAAAAGTATTTGCTGTCACAGGATGCATTTTTTTTTGACCTTCAGTATAAATTTTTTTTCCTGAATATTAAAAGAATTAAGATTTTTAAATTCTGAGGAATACTGCTGGGAACTATGATTAAGGACTCACAATGTTTAACTTTTTAAATATAAATTAAAAAGACTACTCTTTATACTCTAGCCTGATGACTTAAAGATTTCAGTAGGGTATCATAAAAATAACCCTAACACTCAAAATGGGCTTGATTTAAATGTCATAAAGGCTAAACATCATGGTTCTATCATCAGAAAACACTAACAATATGGGTAAAAATAACACTGCACAATTTCTATTTGAAGCTTTCAAAGTAGTACGCTAGTAACTTCTATTTGGGCTGCATTTTGAGTTATAGAACAAAAGAAATTTTGTAAAAAAAATTGAGTCCTTTTTGGCTAGGTGCATTGGCTCATGCCTATAATCCTAGCACTCTAGGAGGCCGAGGCGGGAAGATCCTTTGAGCTCAGAAGTTGGAGACCAGCCTGAGCAAGAGCGAGACTCCATCTCTACCAAAAACAGAAAAAATTAGCCAGGCATGGTGGTGCATGCCTGTAGTCCCAACTACTCGGGAGGCTGAGGCAAGAGGACAGCCTGAGCCCAGGAGTTTGAGGTTGCTGTTAGCTAGGCTGATGTCACAGCACTCTAGCCAGGGCAACAGAGTGAGACTCTGTCTCAAAAAAAAAAAGGGGTCCTTTTAAAAAACAAAGAAAAAAAGGAAAGTCAATACACCAAGAACCAAGTAGACTCCCATCAGAGGGACGGGGAGTGGGGCCTAGTCGGTGGTTTGTTAGATAACATGCGAGCCACAATCCCCTTCTCCAGGGCCCTCTGGTGTGTGCCAGCCTCGGTGCCAGGGCAGCAGGGCACTGTGGCATGCGGAGGGGCAGTCTTGCTGGCTCCCACTTGCTCCTCCAGGAGAAGTTGGCCTTGTGGGGTTCTTATCATCCTGTCAAGCCATGGCACTAATGGGACACTGCTAGGAGAACACTGGCCAAATCTTGCATGAGAAGTCACCTCCTTCACATTCTCTTCAATATTGAGGGGTCACACTACAGGAAACCCCTTTTTATCAGCTTTTATGGTGTTTGTGCACTCAACAAGGAAAGTAAGAGAAAGAAAAAGAAAGCAACTTGTTTAACCTCACACAATAGAAAGGAAAGGTTTCTTCCAAATGGTTGATCTGGGAATGAAGCCCAACATTCCTAAATCTCAGCTTAGTTTACTGTCTTTTTCATTTGCCAATGGTTTTTAGAAATGTAAATCATTATGATCCTATCTACTTTGGGTCATCATATCATTGCTTCTCAAAGAGAGAGTGGCCCAAAGCCACTGTTGCACACATACAATTCAGCCATTTATGCAGCTCCACAGTATAGACACAAGTTTAAAAAGCAGATATTCTCAAAAATCTGCGATTCTTAGGGCTAGTAATAGGAAATATTACTTTGAAGAAGGTCCCTCAACACTACAGGCATATGCAGATACTGAGATGAATATTCACATACCTACGTACAGATGTCCAGAAACAAACACGATCGCCTCATATATGCAATCTCTTTTCTGAACCAATAAAGACAATGCATTTCTAAGGAATATTTGAACTTTATTGTACGTTTTTTTCTTTTTTTAGAAAAGTGAAAATCATAACCTTACACAATTTCTTTCAAATGGATAAACTTAGACAATTTATTGACGCTTCCTTAAATTTTTACACCACGCTGAACTCCAACAGGTTTTTGTTTTAAGGTAAACCAGGTTTTTGGTTCTTCCCTGTGGAGAAGTTACTTTCAAGTCAGTGAAAGTTCTTGGCCCATGATTAAAAGTCTTTGCCAATTAGTACTCAACAACTTCAATTCATTTTTTTCTGGTTCAAGATGAGTAGGAGCCTAATAAGGCTGTGATAAAAGGGCAAAAGGCACCGAGAGCCAAAAGCGGATTAATGAGCTCCTCCATTTATTTGTCTTCCTAACAGCTGAACTGTTACAACTATTGACACTCTTCAAAAGGTTCCGCTCTGAACCCTGTCCAGGCACTGCAGGCTCCAATGGACATCTTCAAATCCAGAGAATGGAGGGGCAAGAGCTTCCCCTGTGTGATGCCAAAACCAACAAAGCCCCATGGATCAGGTAATGAAACTTCAGCTTTTCCCCCTTTGAGATTTATTTACTGGCAGCTGACAAGGGGCAAATTCAGCTCGAATTGTGCAGTCAAGGCCCTGTCAAGCTTTTAGAGGCACCCTTGTCTTGAAGCACCTTCATGACTGGCATTTCACTCAAAAGCCCTCGGCACTGGTCCTTAACAGCTTATGACATCACAAAGGACACTCCAGACAGATGCCTACATGGCATCCTGCAGCATTTTAAAAGAGAATTAGTGGTTTTAATTATGGTCGTAGTATGAAAGGGAACCATGCAAGCTCCACAGGAGACCTTTGATCAGACCCTTTTGCTAGTACAATGCCACGGAACTGTGACTATTCCTGGTAAGGGGCCTTTTCTTGCTGAATGACTCACCAGTGATCTTTGAATGCAGACAAGCTTCTAGCCCTCCCTCTTCATTAGTGAGCATTTCTATACAGGGGCCTATATAGTGCTTGGAGTCTAGGAGCTATACAATTGGGGGGAAAAGAAGCCCTACAGATTCTGGCCTCTACTTAGGAAGTGCTGAAGGACTCTGAGTGACTTTATTCATTAAAACAGGTTGCTATTAATTAACTGTCATAATAAAATAAAGAACTATTATTTGCATTTCTTACTATGTTCTCTTTAGTAATATGTATAAAAGATGCTTGTAACAGAAATGAATTTATTGAATCACTTCCCCATCCCCCCCAATCTCCGCCTTTTTTTTTTTTCTTTGCATTTTGGCAGCAGGAGCCTACTAATTATTGGGCCTAGATCTTTGAGTCCAAATAGAAGTAAAACATAAATATAAAATTAATTAAGTAAATAAAAAAATCCTTTCTACTTGCCAGTTTCTGCAACTGAAATAAGCAAACATTAAATAAATGATTTCAGCAAACTATCTAGGACAACAAAATCCAAACTTTTCCCAAAATATCACTCACTTTACCTTGGAGTGTAAGACTATACAACAATTATAGTTACTTTTAAAAAAAATTACTCTAACTTGAAGCATAACAAGATTCATTCCTTTTAAAAAAACTATTTCATTTTTAGGAAACAAAACGTCTTTGGTCTGGTGTTAAAAGAATTTAACCTTTAAAACTGATCCCAATAACTGTGGCCCTTAAAAGATTCATGGTTGATATTTTCATTATATGAACGTAATTCATTCTCTTCTAGAATGTAATCAAGCACAATCATTTGGTGAAAGATTGTGGAAGTAGGAAGACTTTTCAAAAGCTTCTCACTGAAATGTTATTTGATAATGTGGAATTATCAAATGCTGCAAAACCAAATTTTGCATAAATATACACCCCATTAAACAGTACTACTGTACCATGTTACTTATATCTGGGAGATGATTTAGTTTTAAATTTTTTATACAGTTTTTTTCTTGAAGGAAAAACTTTTGGACTTCAGAATTTTGGAAGCTGAATGACAGGCAGGTTTTTCATATTTTGCTGTCTCAGACATTTTTCATATTTCTTAGACTTTGCAGTTCTTTTCTTAGGTGCTTTAGAGCAACTAAAATATCAGCTTGCTGTGGATCATTCTGTGCTTTCTGAGTGTAGAGACGGAAGTGTCTGATGGTTTCAGATAAGAGGACTTCAGGGTCTGCATCTCTCTCCTGAAGACGTAGCATCCGCTCACAGGCGATGGCATAGTTCTTGTGCCAATTCACTGGGTGATCCTTTTGCAAATAGACAATCTCCTTATAAAGCTGGAAAACAGCAAAAATGTTGGTATTCCACTGTTGTCCCTTGACTTTTTTTTTAAAAATAGAAAACACAGAGGAATTAATAATAAGATAAAAAATCCAAGCAGCCTACAGTAAAAATCTAATCATTGCTAGGCCATGCAGAAAATGCAAGGATGTTACTGTAATTATTACAGTAGCAGGAGGCAAATATGCTCCATCTAAAACTGCTTCTGAGGTTTTTTGGATGTCGCAGGGCAAACCGAAGACACACTGTGTCAGGACAAAATGCTCTTCCTCCAGAATGATGTTCTGGGAAAGGGATTTAGTTCTAATTCATGGAAAGCTATTTACTCAACAGGCAGAAGGGTTGAAACTCTAAATTTGGCTTTGGGGAAAAAATAGCTTTCTTTAGAAATCTGCATGGAAAAAGAACTTGAAGGAATTTAAATTTTTGTCCCACATGATTTACATAAATTTCTCTCTACATTAAAAACAACACTAGTATTAAAAAGAAGAGTAACAACAAAACAATCCAAACAAATCCAACATCAAATATGCTGGGTATAATGGAATTTAAGATATCTTAAGTGTGATATTTTAAATCTTCACAGGATCCTACTATTTATAATTTTGACAGTTAAAACTTTGCCCACAAAAATTTAGATTTTTGTCTTTCAGCATCAGTGATGATATTAAATGGATAGAGTTAGAATTTTATTTTTATTTTGTCTCACTCTGTTGCCCTGGCTAGAGTGCCATGGCGTCAGCCTAGTTTGCAGCAACCTCAAACTCCTGGTCTCAAGGGATCCTCCTGCGTCAGCCTCCCGAGTAGCTGGGACTACAGGCATGCACCACCATGCCTGGCTAAATTTTTCTATATATTTTTAGTTTGCCAATTAATTTGTTTCTATTTTTAGTAGAGACGGGGTCTCACTCTTGCTCAGGCTGGTTTCTAACTCCTTACCTTGAGCCATCCTCCCGCCTCAGCCTCCCAGAGTGCTAGGATTACAGGTGTGAGCCACTGCGCCCGGCTGAGTTAGAATTTTTGATATTGAGTTTTTCAGAGGAAAAACATCAAAATTTAACAAATCAACAAAAAAGCAGACATAAATTTGCAAAATGGAATATTATATTAGCTTATTTGGGAATTTCACAGCCTTCCTGGAGATTATCAAGTTAGAATTGGAGCCACAGTACTTTACCAGTGGACTCTCCGAGAGCACAGAATAAGTAATAATGCTTTCTCTGGGGACAAGTGCACATTTTTGAATTAGAATTATACTCATGACATCATCCAGTTGAAAGGGACCCAATTATGTTATCCCCCAACCCCTACTCCAGGCAGACATATACCTATTTTAAAATATAATCCTTGTAAAAAATTCCACAATCCATGCTTGATATATCATTTTGATATTTAATGACCCTCAGTCTTCAAGCTGCCTTTTGAAGCAACTTTCCCTTAGTTCCCTTCATTTTATAAAATAGGAGAGTCACCATGCACTTTCATAAATATCAAAGTTATGAAGTCAGCCTCCTACTCCTTTATTCTCTTGTTAAAATACTCAAAGTTCCTCTACCTTTTCCTTATCTTTTTTTCTCCAGCAGGTTCCCAAGCCTCCCTCTGATGAGCTCTGCGTGTGAGGCATGCAGCACGCTGCCCTACACAAGGCAGGCACTCAGGAACTGTTCGCTTTTCAAAATCCTACTAAGTAAGGTTTTGAAGTCCAAAACAGGTGCCAACATTTCCAGGAGCATTTCCCCAGCTGCTCAACAGAATGAGAGGCTCACTCAGCACCCAGCTAAATCCAGGCACCAGGTTAATCATACTAGCTTTTTCTAGAATACTTTGTTACTGACGCATCATCAACTTATTTTGGATGACCTATTAAGCCACATGTGCTGCATCTTAAGAAGCCAGTCATTTCTCCTTATGTAGGATTCTATTTCCCTCTTTTTATGTGTGTAACTGTGACATTAGTCTTAGTGGACTGTATTCTGTTAATTGGGGACGTCGTCAACTTACCCAATCTATTGCTAAGGAGCTAGCTTCTGCCTGCTCCCCCACTATACCTAAACTTAATGTCACCTGAACTTAATGCTTTGCATAAGTGACTGAGTGGGATAATGCAAATAATAACAAAAATATCCTTTATACCCAACGAGAATATTCTTGAAAAATGAGCACTAGGGTAGTAATTAAGTAATTGCCATTAAGTAATTGGTCTCATTTGTCTTGTAAACACTTTCACACATCTGGAGACATATGCAAAGGAGATACCAACACTCTGTGTTCACTGAAAAAAATAAAGCTTGCTAATCCAAAGGGACAATAAATCCATGAATGGACTTCAGTAGAGGGTCCACAATGGGCCGTGGAAGAGATCACTGATGAGAATATGAAATATTAGTAAGTTTCTTATTTCTCCCAACTAAATATTGCTTGCTTTTCATAGAATTAAAGGATATTAGAGATAAACAGGGTTATATGACCAGAATATGACAGGTAATCTTTTAAAGTTTAAAGCCCACTTTGTTTTTTAGAAAAATATCAAGGCCTGGAAAGGATAATTGACTCACAGTTGATGATGAATGGCAGAGTGGGCCTAGAACCTGGACCTCCCTACGGCCAGACAGAACTCCAGCAAGTTCCCTCCTATAATCAAGTCCCTTGCTGTCCTCAAGCGGGACATCTCGGAGGGTCCTGCCTTTGCCCCTGTGGTTTCCTCCTTAAGGACTGCCCTCCCCTCCCTCTCTCGTTTCCTTGCCCCACCATCTGTCTGGCTAGCTCCTTCTCATCTTTCAAGATGACACTCTGGTGACATCTCCTCTGGATGCCTTTCTTCCCTTTCTCAGCCCCTTCCTCCCCAGCTTGCTCATGTCCTGCTGTCTGTGATCTCAGAGCACGTCTGCGTGCCTCTCACAGCACTACGAGACTGAACTGGGACTGAGGACTCCACCTTCTGTCTCCCTCTCTGGCCTGCAACATTTTGGATAGTGGGGACAAGACTTGATTGTCTCCGACACAATATTTGGTGTGGTGTGGGTACTCAATAAATGCCCTGTGAGTGAATGAACAAATGAATAAACAATGAACCAATGATCGAAATTTAGGAGTACAATTACTCATACTGATTGGACACCATGCTATTTTGACTTAGCACCAAACAAATGCCCTGGCTGTGCAGATCCACAGCAGTCCAGAGAGAGCAGAAATACCTCAGTTGCTCATACAGACAGGTCCTGAGCTTTGTTTTCATTGGCCTTTGCCAGGCTATTTGTTTCCTATACAGCAGACTCTGCAGATGTCTGAAGGGCCCAATCCTCTAAGTCATAGAAAAGCAGAGACTTGTTATAGTGCCACAGCAAGCCTCTGCTCTGCACTCTCATTTCCCCTCAGAGAGCACTGATTTGGGCAAGAGCATCGGTGTGGCTTTGTCTTCCGAAGGTTCGTTCAGCTTTCTGGGACCACAGTTAGAAGACAGAGCCACTCTCCATGACCCTTCATCTCTCACATGCAATCTCAACCAGCCCCGGCCTTACTGTTTCAATTATAGCCAGGGTCATGACTTTTACACAGAGGGTATCCTGCCAGAACTTGTTTTTTATAAAGCTATTATATTAGTTTCCCATTGCTGCTATTAACAAGTTACCATAAATACAGTGACTTAAAACAATGTAAATTTATTATCTTGCACTTCTGGAGGCCAAAAGTGGTAAAATCAGCATGGCTGCATTCCTTTTGGAGGCTCTGCGCTTTCCACCTTCCTGAGGCCACCTGCGAGCCTCCTTAATTCTTGGCCCCTTTCTCCACCTTCAAAGTCTGCAGCGTAGCGTCTTCAAATCTCCCTGTCTCTGACCTCTGCCTCTGCATCACATGTCTTTCTCTAACTCTCACCCTCTTGCCTCCCTGTCATAGGGACCCTTGTGATTATGTTGGGCTCACCTGGATAATCCAGCTCCTCTCCCATCTCGAGACCCTTAACTTAAACACCCCCTTTGCCATGTAGGGTAACATATACAAGGTTCTGGAGGTCTGGAGGGTAGAACATCAACATCTTCAGGGGTGTGGGGGCACTATTCTGTCTACCTCAGCCATTTACTTTAGACATTGTGATATAATTGAGTATTTTTCATATATACTGCTTTATAATTGCCCCAAATAAGCTGGAAATAAAAGAATAAAAACTCTTATGTGATATACCCTCTCTCCATCCCAAACAATTACCACCACCTTCCCACCAAATATATATATATATATAAAGTATAACATACGTTATATGCATGAATGTAGAGTTGAGCTTTCAAACTTGAAGGCATATTAGCAGTCTCTGCCAGGTTAAAGATGAAGAAAGGTGTTTTCATCCTGGGAGTGGGGGTGGGAACTTTCATTAAAATTATATTGTCAATTTCACATTCAGAGCTAAATCTTCTAGGCTTTTTTACTGATAAGGAATGTATAAAACCCTTTACTGTATTATTTTTAATTCTCTCATATTCATGGACATTTACCCAACAGCAACCCCTCCTTCCCCCACCACCAAGACATTGCATTCACACCGATGACCAAATCTTTTAGGAAAAAAGCTTACATTCATCATCACTATTAGACATCATTCTTCCTCCAGATGTACGTTATTGTTACGCAAGAGCCGCCGGGAAAAGGGACACTTGCTGGGTTTGTTAGCACATCCCTGAAGGTAGCCACCACGGCAGCTCGTGCCATGTGTGACCAATTCTTCAAAGGTGGCTGGACTCTTTGACCACATGAACTCATCCAAATTGTATTGAGCACACCAATTAAATCAATACCTGCCCAAATAACGATCTGCTTTCTTCTTTTATGTGATTTCTCCCAAGCTTTCCTGCATTCAATCACAGTGAAGAATTGTGCACACATATGGTATATCTGATCAGTTCATCAAAGTATTTGTCCCTATGACTAGACTGATAACTTGAAATATGCCGTTTTCCAACTTTTTCAAAAATGCTATTGCATAAACTATAATACATCTATTTTTTTCAATCATTATTTTGGGGCTGTATTTCTTGACCATTCTTTAAAAACCTCTTTAAACTTATGTAAGCCTTTTACATCATAACTTGATTCTCAGCGCACAGCTCCCGGCTCAGACTGGGCATCCTTACATGCTCGCTGAAGGAAGCACTCCATGTGGACAGGGAGCACCTGTTTGTATCACTTAGGACTTTTATATCAATATTTAGGCCAAAGTTTCTTAGTTTTAGTTATTTTACTTCAAAGAAAAAGGACAGATACCAAAAGAAGCAGTAGCATCACTACGAAATGTTCTATACAGGACAGTATGACCTCTCTTTTTCAGTAACAGGAAAGTATAGCATCTATCACATTAACATTCAGATCTCCTTTAACATGTCTGTCTGCTCCATTAGACTATGAGCTCCATGGGGTAGGAACTGTATTCATATGTGTATTGTATTCATATGTGTTGCTTCAATGCCAAACGCAGTGCCTCGCCTCTAGTAAGTTTAAATAAGTGCTTACGTCATTAACTGGCACGTTACAAATGGAGGTAGGGCTGTAACTGTCAGCCTCTATGCAATCAATTACACTCACTTTGGTTTAGTTGAGGCTGGAAAGCACAGGAGTTAAGAGTGTCCCAGCATCATACAGATGTGACTTTGGATTCCATCACTAGTACCTATGTGGCCTTGGACAGGTAAACTTTCTACATCCAATTTGTTTTTTTTATAAGATGAGGATAATAATAACTTCTTCTAGGGTTATTGTGAGGATGAAATGAGATATTCATGTATAATGATTAGCACAATGCCTCAAACAAAATAATTGCTTATGAAAGTTATTTGTATTATTTCCACCATTCACCCCACTCCCAAAATTATGGTACTTTTCTGCCATATTAAAAATAGATTGCAGACACAGAAACGTAGATTAGTCACCTTGCTTGCCACATCTCTTCATTGGCCACGGATTCCCAAGAAGTTGAATCAAACCTGAAGTTACAAGAAGATAGTAATATGTTTCCATCATCTACATTTATTGCTATGGACATGTAACACCTGTTTTATAATCTTACAAGGTCAATAGTATTGGCTGGATCTTGAAGTACAGATAGTGCCAAACTAATAAACTTATTCTCCTAAAAAGATCAATTATAAGAAATTTTGAGTTTTGGTAAATGTGTTTTCTTAATCTGCATAATGAGCCCCCAGTGCCTCATGGGAGCAAACAAAGGGTTAATGGGAAGAGGCTGGAGGTATCTGGAAGCCAGCTGTTGATAAGAACTGGAGAGGTAGCCTGGAGAGAGGGGACACCTGGCTTTGATAAGTCATTCCTGGAGCTAGGATGCTGCTCAAAAAATGATGGCCAAACCATTTGCTGATTTTTCTTCCTTTTAAGTAAAATTTTCATTATTACATATCTATTTTGACAGAATGGAGATGAGTGATGTTATGTATATGTACTTAGTCATCAGCTGTTTGAAGAATATGTTATTTTCTAACTTTTCCTTATGATGGTTAAAAACGCTTTATTTTGGCTTAGTTATCCATCTCTGGCTGTTAATATAACAATGTGGTCTGTGTTTGCTCATATTGACTCAAAAAACCCTTATAGCATTTAAAAATATCTTGTTTGTTGCTTTTAAATTATAAACAATAGATTATATAATCTTGAAATAATTTATAATTTTAAAAACATGTAATGGACATGTAATGCACATTTCTTTAGATGGTGACTCATTTTCCATATGGGAAAGAGTGAACTCTATATAGAAATGCTTAAGGAAGACTAATAATGCTCCAACAACATAACCAGGTTGATGCCAAACAACTGTAAAGAAAAAGTTATCCAAATTGCAGACTTCCCTATAGAGAAGTTACCTGTCATTCTTTAAAAAAAGGAAACTATGACACAAGTGTATATATATGGAAACTATCATGAGCAACAGAATGCCTTTTAAAGCTCAACTGCAATTAATGAACCTCTACTATTTAATAATTTTAGGGTAATATAGCTGGACAATATAGCATTAAGAGACTTGGAAGTAGAAGACGCCATACATCTAACTATGTATGGCTGAGTGCTACCCACTCAGCCATAGCCTCCCTCTCCTTTGTATCTTCCCATTGGTCTGTGAACGGGAGGACAAGAAAGGTATGTTCTCTTTCTGTATGTTTTATGGTACTTTGCAGGTGGCACATAATATGAATGAATAAAAAGTGAAATAAAAAATTAAAAGGCATCTCAAAATGTAGTTTTTTTTGATACTCAAAACTGCTATATTTAAATGCATAAAAATACAACTGCTGTTCATACCTTCCATATTCTTCAGTCCAGTTATACATATTTTTTGTAACTTTAATCCATTCCTCAGGGTTGAATACAATCTCTGAAGGAACCAATTTGTCACAAGACCCCCATGGCCAAAGTGAATAGTTCTTTTTCCAGGTTGGGTCCCCTTCATGAATTCCTATGCAAACAAATGTTTCTTTTCTATTAAAAACAGAAAAAGACATGATACATTTTTAACTTAAAGTTGTAAATGCTAAGTAAATATAATTCATGGAAGATCTTTTTCTAAAATTTATTTTAATTAAAAAAATTTGTTTTCATTGCTGTAAAATCTGTCACTGTAGAAAGATCATTTTTGACACTTTAAAAGTTGCTTACCACTAAACCATTTGCAAACATTTTAGTTTATTTAAATGTTTCCCAAATAGACTGAAATTTATCTTAGTGTAAAAAGCTATTTCTAAGGGTTGAAGGGAAGCAAACAGACGTAGATGCAAAAACCTACCTGTCCATAATGTTACAAGAAATCACTTGGGGACAAGCATTGTTATAAGGAAAACTGCTGTGGTTTTATTACACATGTTTTCTTTGACACCCTTTTCTTTTACAGGTAGAAATATAAGTCTTCCTTTTTATCCCTAGTAAGAAGTAGTCTTTCCTTCCTCAAATTCCCATAGCACTTTATTTTTTTATCTATTTTGCCATTATTGCATTGTACTTAATATTTGCATTTATAAACCTCCCTGAGTAGCCCAGAAGCATCCTGAGGCTAGGCTCTCTCTCCCTGAATTAACTCTGAATCCCACACAGCATGATGCATATCTAACACACAACTATTTGCTGAATAAAATTAATTAGATTAGAATAACTATTAGGAGCTTCAAATCTTATAAAAAGTAGCAACAGAAATGGTTTAAACAATCTTGGTTCAGACAAAAAATGGCAACTGAATAATCGTTTTCTTCCAGTTTGTGGGTTATGCCTTAATAGCTATTACTAAGTAGGGGAAAAAAAAGCAAATTAGGGGAAATTATTTCAAAGTAAAAAACTTTGTGAACTTTGAAGCGAGACAGTTCTGGCTTAGGTTTTAGATTTTTTTCCGCCACCATTTATTATCTCTATGATTTGGGAGAAATTACTTAACTACCTGTGTCTAGTCTCATCTGTGAAATGTATGATAACTATCTTCAGAGCGGTTTAAGATTAAATGAGATATATGATATAAAGCACAATCTCAAAACATAACGGAGTTCTGGTCTGGGGAAGATGGAGTAAGCACACTCTACTTTGTCTCTCTCACTGCAAACAACTGTTAATTCCTGGATAGAATATATGGAGCAGCTATCTGAGGACTATGAAAAGTAAATGATAGAAAAAAGATTGGGAAAAGAGACTGGAATTAGAGGTTCTAGCACAACAGTAACGATTTTACCATTTTTGCCCCTCCATGGGGGCAAAAGGAGGCTCAAAACTTAGAAGTATGCACCAAATAAGGACAAAAAGAGCTCTAAGAAAAGCCCCTTTTTCTAGCCCAAGGAGTGGGAAAGAGGACTCGTAAGCTTTGGAGAGAGTGGAGGAAACCCTTCTCTCCTTCTCCAGGCACCAGGCAGTACAGTGGCAGCAGCGCAGTGATGGGAGTGGCAGCTGGGCAGGTGCCCAAACTCTGAGGGAGGAGAACTCTTCTCTTTAACCAGGGGAGCTCTGGTTCCAAGAGTGTGGGGCAAATTCTGAATGCTTTTTGTTCTCTCTGTCCCCCTGTACCCTGGCTCCAGATGCAGACACAGAATGCATGGCAGAAGAAGAAAATTAAAAACCCCAGTTTGCTGGACAGAAAACCAGGAAGGAAGGCTCCAGAAAGCTGGAAAGTACTGGAGTGACCACAGAAAGGAGACAGATCAAGATAGTAACCTTATAAAGTTGAGTCTCATGCATCTTTTTATTGCCAGGGCCTAATATAAGCTATAACATAGTAGATATTTGGTAAAGGTTTGTGGGGTTGAATTTTTAAAATCTCATAAAAATCCCAATTTGGGGATATTAATGATTCCTAATATTTTATTCCAGGATAGAATAATTAAATATTACTCTTACAGCACTTTTATACCCATTATATTCATATTACTCTATGAGTCCTAGTAAATTTTAGGCTATAAACAGCAAAAATACCACATTATTATATTCTTAGCAAGGGATCATTTTAACTTTGGGATTAGCAAAGACTTTCTGAAGTCCTCTTTTTAAGAAGAAAGAAATCATGAAATAAGTTTTTCTTCTTCAAGCTCTGGACAATTCCAAGCATTTCTTGGACAGGAGAAATGTTCAGTACTATGCCATGGAAGTAGGCTATTTATTCTTGACCTTAACTACAAATAATTTTATGTTCTCAAGTATAGAATGCACAATTCTCATATTTTATCTCAGCTAGCATAAACTGTAGGTGTTTTTCTTATTTATAAAAATGTCTTATCCTTTATAAAAATCCTTAAGCTATTTTTATATAGTGATTATTCCTGAAAACATTTGCTTTACACTTAAAAGGGGGCCATGGTGTTGATCAGGGGGAAACTATAATTGCTTGCCATACACCTGCAACGATTTCAAGTAGGCAGGCACATCTCCAATTTCTCTGAATTGTACTAAGATCTTATTTGCTGTTCTTGCTAATCTGTCTTTATTTTTCCTTTACCCAGAACAATAACATTTATTTCTGCCTGGCCTCATTTATGCACAGATATTCAATTTAATTACAAAGATAATCTCACCGGTGACAGGAAAATAGGTGTAGAAAATTGGTCTTTTGGATGAGGCACAGCTGCTACAGAAACAATTTTAGAAAAGCTTAAGATTTTAGAAAAGCTATTATATGAAAAAATGCTTACTGTTTATTTATTTCGAGAAAACGATAAAGATTAAATGTGACCATTCCACTAGGTAATATTCCTTCCACAGGATTCCACCGGTTCCCAGGGAAGTTGACACCTGGTAAATGCTTTGCCATCTTGGGTAAATACCACTCATAAGTCATCATCTGCCAGAAAAATCACATATGATGTCAGACTTTTAATATATTTCCTAAAAGGAATCAAACTTATCAAGTACAATGAAAAGGTTCTAAAATGTGAATCTATGCATTAAATATATACATAATTGAAAAAACAAGCACAACAAAGGTATATGGCACTGAGTCCTCTTTTAATGACTTAAACCTGGGATTTTATGTGTTAAGATGTGACCAGCATCAGTAACATCAGTACCTAGTTTTATTTTACCTCCAGTGTTCAACAGTCTACCAAGACTGAGCTTCCCCATTCTCATACCTACAGAACATGTACTCCACGTTCAGAACCAGTGAAAACATCACTGCCCTCCCCCGTCTCCACAGCCATAGTGACATGCTGTTAAAGCACTTTGTACCCACCTCTAGTATAGCTCTAGGCCTATTCCTCACTAGACTGTAAGCTCCTAGAGGAAAGGAATTGTATCTTTTCATCTTTGTGTCTCTGCACCTAGCCTGGCATAGAATAGTTCTCAAATTATGTTTGTTGAAGTTGAAATTTCTTTGATGGCCAGACTAGACAACCTAGACAAAATATAGAAATGTATCATTATTCCATTCTTTCATTCATTCATTCAAAAAAGCAAGTATTGCTCACCTATAATGAATAAGATATAATCCCTGCCTTTGATAAGCTCAACTGTATAATAATCTAGGACTGAAAGTTAAAAACCCTTTTGGCTAAATTATCTGAATTTATTAGTGGTCTTAAAGTAATTACATATCCTTATATACTTTTTTTTTTTTTTTTTTTTTTGAGACAGAGTCTCACTTTGTTGCCGGGGCTAGAGTGCTATGGCGTCAGCTTAGCTCACAGCAACCTCAAACTCCTGGTCTCAGCCTCCCGAGCAGCTGGGACTACAGGAACGCACCACCATACCTAGCTAATTTTTTTCTCTATATTTTTAGTTTGCCAATTAATATGTTTCTATTTTTAGTAGAGACGGGGGTCTTGCTCTTGCTCAGGCTGGTTTGGAACTCCTGACCTTGAGCGATCCGCCCACTTCGGCTTCCCAGAGTAAATGCTTAGGATAAATGCTTAGGATTACAGGCGTGAGCCACTGCGCCCAGCCCTTATATGCTCTTTTGATTTAACTTATCAATATCAGAAAAAATTATTTTTCTGAATTTTATACTTTTTGTTTTGTTTTGTTTGAGACAGGGTCTCACTCCGTTGCCAGAGCTAGAGTGCAGTGGCTTTGTCGTATCTCACTGCATCCTCGACTTCTGGGCTCAAGCAGTCTGCTGCCTCAGCCTCCATAGTAGCTGGGACTACAGGTGTGCACCATGATGCCCGGCTAATTCTTCTATTTTTTGTAGAGATAGGGTCTTGCTCTTGCTCAGGCTGGTCTCGAACTCCTGGCCTCAAGCAATCCTCCCACCTCGACCTCCCACAGTGCTAAGATTACAGGCGTGAGCCACTGCACCTGCCCAATTTTATACTTAATGTATACCTAATTCTATACTTTTATATGTACAGATTCCCTGTTTTAAAAGAAAAGACTCCTATTTACACTTTCAAAGCTTCGCTACAGTTGGACATCATCATTTGAGCAACTGTGCTTATGTTTTTACTTACCTTATACAAGTCATTTAATTATTAATAGCAAATGACAAATTAATTTTAATCTAAGTGTAAATTGTAAATACTCAAAAAATACTTATTTAATTAGATTTTACTACCCAATAGTTTCAGTTCTTAGGTAAATTAACACTAATTACATACCCACTGTGTACTATAACCTTATTGTTCCTCATTTAATTCTCATAATAACCTTACCATGTAAGAGTAATTGTATCAGATACTGTTGATTGCCCACTCAACACTTAATACCTTCTTTTACTAATGAGTCCTGATTTTGATCAGGTAGCTCAGGGGCACAATATGCTCAGGTCTAGTCATTCCCATTTGCTAGTGAGCAGTTCAGGAGTGGGCATTTGACCCACTACTGGTCAGGGACCCAAGTGGAGGTCTGCTTGGGGCTTCTTGGGCACATGCGACTCCCAATAAATAGAACGAGATAGAGACAGAAGGACATGTCCCAGAAGAAGCACCTTGCTTTGTTTTAGGATATGCCATTTGGAACTGAGCACCCATCTTGTGAATATTAGGGAAAAGACAAGAGAACTACAGAAAAGCTGCCTCAGAACACTGTCCGCATTGAACTACTTGTAATATTAATCTTAAAATCTCCTATCTCCAGACTACCTGTCATGTAAGATAAAAGCACAATAATTTAAGCTGCTCTTAGTTAGGTATTCTGTTTCTTGCATTCAAAAGCATCCTAACTCATATAATGATGACTTCCATTTTAAAAATTAGGGAAACAGAAGCTGTGAAAGAAAAAATCAGCAGTCCCATGTCACATATCCAGGAAACGAAAGAATGAAGACTTAAGTTAAGGTATAATTCTTTTTTTTTGGAGACAGAGTCTCACTCTGTTGCCTGGGCTACAGGGCCGTGGCATCAGCTTAGCTCACAGCAACCTCAAACTCCTGGGCTCAAGCAATCCTCCTGCCTCAGCCTCCCAAGTAGCTGGGACTACAGGCATGCACCACTACATCTAGCTAATTTTTCTATTTTTTGTAGAGATGGGGTCTTGCTCTTTCTCAGGCTGGTCTTGAACTCCTGATCGCAAGTGATCCTCCCACCTCGGCCTCCCAGAGTACTAGGATTACAGGCGTGAGCCACTGAACCCGGCCTCTAATTCACTTTTAAACTTATGTTTCTCAACTATAGTAGCTGACTGTAGGTTAAATTGTATTTGAAATCATACCACAGAACCATGTTATTAACAAATAACCTAGCTTTTGCCAGAAATGTCTAGTTTGACTGAGATCAAATTAATCAATCTGTATATATAAATGCAAACCACTTATAAAAATACATGTAATTTGCAAATTGCCCTGTATTTGCAAATCTGTTTATAAATTTTTCTCCAAAAATATAATTATTCATTAATTCAACAAAATTTATTAAGTACTATGCTTAATAATTTGTTCAATTAATCATATTGTTCTTTCAAGATTAAGAATTTCTCTTTTCCTGATGACTGTTCTAAAAACACCAGAGATAGATTTCTTCCCTTTTAAGTATCTATGATTTAAACAATAAATCTTATGGTTTAAATATAGTCCTTCACTTCTGAAAAATTGTTTTTATAGCCCTCAAAATTTTCAGAAGTCCTCTCCTAATATATATTTGTCATAGAATCACAAAGTTTATATAAACATTCTATATTTTAGAATGTTTATTTTAACTATTTAAATTATAGTTAATAATTTTTATTTTGAGTGAAATGTTTACCTACTCTCAGTATGATTTATTTTATATTAAATCTAATTTATTTTAATCCCTGGATCAGTGGACAGTATTAATTTGCATGGTTGAGTTGGCTGAATGTAAAAGAACAATTTAAAAATAAATTTACAATACAATAAACATTTTCATGGTTTGCCACATGAACTAGAGACCTAAAATATTATTTGAATCTAACATGAAACACATTAATTCTTAACTCATTCAGTTTAAATGAGAAAAAAGTAATTCATATGATTCATTCTATTAGTTAAACAAAAGAATGTGATATATATTCTCTCTAAGAGTGATCATGAAAACTGGACCCATCTGCTATTTAAAAAAAAAAAAGACAGTATTTTCAAAAACATGTTTCAAAATACTTGCTATATTTTAAGTACATTTTTCATATACTTACTTCCTGATCCACTAATGAAACATCTGGCCTCAACCCCTCACAGTAATGCATGTAACGGAGGGAATTCCCTGGCAAATCTCCTCTGAGTAAGATAATTGCATCACGAGGCATAGAGGCTAGAAGGTTCTTTGCAAATTTATCGATCACATAGTTGGTCCTTTGGTCACAAATGCTAAATAAAAGGATCAAAAAACATTAAAATAGCAACACTTTGCTACAGTTTTAATAAGACTGGGCTTATTTTCTATGCCGTTCCTTTCCCATCATTTAATCAACATTTAGTGTTTCAAAGTATTCTAAAAGGATGCATATATTTGAAAGGAGAACACTAGCATCTGATAAGCAAGGATGCAACTGAAAAACAATCAGTCTACTGCTTACCTATGGAATTTATAAGCATTTTCATGAAAAGGGAATCAGTGCTTAAGAATAAGTCCTTTCTTCTTCCCTAAAAGCAATCCAATTTTACTTTTCAAAAGTAAAATTTTGAAAATGTTTCTGATTCCTCTTGGAATTTAAGGTAATTTTATGTTAATTCCACTTATGCAAAGGAACCTTCAGAAATGCAAAAGGAAATCTGCCAATTTCTGACATAAATTTGTATGACATTTGTATGACTTTCTTGCATGCAGAGGTTTCCACTACTCCCCTGAACCACAGGCCTCATGTGTTCCTCTCTCCCTTTGGAGACTGAGAAATCACTAGGGTTGAGACCAATGAGAAGAGAAGGAAGGGAAAAGAAGGAAGAATTTTTTGTTTACTTCTCTGTAAGCACTATTTGCTATTGCTAGCAACAGCAGTACAGCTCTTTTCAAGAATGAAGTGGACTTTCTAACTTCAAAACAAAACAAACAAACAAAAAAGCCACCCCATTCCCCTAAAACTCCCAAAACAATGGCAAAAAAGACTGGCATGAATTCTGAGAGCTTTCTATGAAAAAAGAAAAAGATTGTAAGAGAGTAAAAGCATAAAAAATGAGACAAGCAACATCCTTCCTTGCTATTATCAGGTCCATTCTATTTGACGGAGCTGAGAAACAGACTAAAGTTGAAACACTGAGTTGGCATCACAAAGCAAATAAACACTTCTAGGAAGACAGTATTATCCCTGCCTTTGTAATCGATGTAAATAATAATTACTATTTCCTATTATGATTCCCTATTTTGCAGAGTGATGACTCACATTTTACCACCCATCAAACTTGCTATCTATTCTATTCCCCTGGGGCAAATAAAAAAAAAATCAAAATAAGATACAAACCACCCAATCTATGCAAGCATGCCTGGTGTTGGACCCGGAGTGCCCTGATGAGTCAGGAGGAGAAGGATTGGGATTTAAAAAAAAGTTTAGTAACCGTGCTGGGGGTTTGGTGAGCTCCCCTTGAGCGTGTAGCAATGGAGATATGTCTGGAACATGCAGCCCCTTCTCTCAAGGCCTCCTGATGGCCTTCCTAACATGAACTCCACCCCAGTATTGTAAAGAATAATGGGTTTTAAAGTTAAGTTGAAAGGGAATTTAATCTTTTAAAATAATTTCAGTCAAATCTCACTAGCAAAATTCTAAGGGACTTTTATAATTCTGTAACATGTATTTGATATTGCTAGAAATAAATGAACTAGCATTTATAAGACCTGGATATCTTTTATGTTAGACTGAGATTTTCATTATAATGGTCATTAAACAGATTTTGAAAAATACATATAATTCTAATAATACATAGGAGTTAAGAAACTTTTAGAACTTAATTTAGAAATAATTAATATTCACAACTATAGGGTAAACTGGATAAAGACCAGATATTACACAAAAGATAAAATCTTGGAAGCATAAAGTGAATTGTTTTAGAGCATACAAAAAACCCATACAAAGCTTTTTACTCTCCATTTGAGTGGTATTTTACAGCATGGAATTTTACATATACTCCAGATTCTACAAAGTTTCTCTAGGGTTCTTTAGAGAAAAATATACAAATAGTCTACATGCACCACCCAAACCCTTGTTTGCAATGGCCTGAAACCACACATCACCAATGCTCTGATTCTGGCACTAATGCATTCAACCAGGTGGTCTCACTTTGAGTCTTGAAGTTAAAAATGAAATAAAGTCCTAGAATCTAAACATCCAGGTATCTCTGGCTTGAATACTTCTTTTCATAAAAATAGCCACGTGTTACCTATAATTAGAATATATTTGGTAAACTACAAAAAGAGCTGCTGAGAGCCACTCCAAGCACTGAGGCCCATGGCTGTTCAGCACTCTGTTACTCTCAGATGCAAGGGCAGCCAAACCAATGCCAGCCAGGACAGCCACCACCGCATTGCTCTGCATCCAGAATCGTTCCACCTGTGAAAAGAGGCACACAAACAGTACGCCCAGTTGACTAGTTTATGCAATCAATCAGGTACTTACATATTTTTAAAAATATATTGCATATACCTAGTTGCTTGTGGCTGCTGACATTCAGGTCTTGTTAACTGACTTCCCCAGTCCAAGCCCAGACCACTTTCTTTCTCAATTTTCAAACATTCCTTTCCCAGTTTGACATGTGCATCTCCCTTACTGGATCCACACACTCATTTCAATACTGTGGCCTTGGTCTTGAACTCCAGCAATATACAGGGTGGAGGAGGTAGAGAAATGTTTTTTTATTACTCCTAATGTTTCCTTCATGTGGAGAAGCTCCACTAGTATAATAGTCCTGGCTTCTCTCTACCCCTCACTTATTTCCTGCTATACCACCCAGGGACTCATCTGCCTGTGGAGTTTGGGAGCTGGGGCAGAGCCTGCATAGCCCTCTCTCTCCCCCTCCCTTTCTCTTGGAAGTGAGCTGCCGACAGGAAGCACTTGTCCAGGGGCAGAGTCTGTCCCTGCGGCACCAGTGGGGTAGGGGTGAGGTGGGAGAGGCCTGTGCAGCACTGCCTCTGATGAGTGGGGAAGCCTGTCCATTCTGGGATGCAGTATGAAGCCCTCTTGTCCACAGATATAAGCCACATCCTCCAATCTCAGTGTTATCAGTAATAAAGGTGATTTTCCCACTTGTCATACTGGTTGATCTTCCTTCTCAATCAATTGATCAAGTAGGGTATTATTATTATTAGGCTTCTCAAACACACACACACACAACACACACACACCACACACACACACACACCACACACACAAAGACCACTTGGTTTCAGCTGTCAGAAAGAGCTGTCTACGTTTACAGAGTTTCTATTATAAGGAGAAGAAATACTCTAATCTCAGTGATGGCTGCCAGAGAAAACAGAAACACGGTTGCTTTTTTGCACAGGCCTGGGATTGGTGAGGTAAGAAATAAGGGAATATGGTGGCAAACACTCCAATTACAACCCATACTTCTTTTGCTATTTTTTAAAAGGATTCCAGGAGAAATGCAGATATACCTATATTTGCAAGCACATACACAAAAATGACTAACTTAAATCTACTTTACATTTGTTTCTCTATTTAAGTACCATTTTAACATTTTGCTTTTTTTTTTTTCTAAAAAGAGGTCTTAGCTGTACTAGCTTAATAATTTAACTTTTGATTTATAAAAATGTATATATAATTTTAACTATTTCAAAATAATTTTCTATTTTATAAGATTGATGAAAGACAAGCTTGTACATTCTTCACAAACTTTCTGGTCAAAGGATATATCTAAGTGAAACTTACCACACCCATGAAAAGTGGGTTCGAAATATCTAAATTTGCCCTCCAGGCAAAGAACAATGAATAAATGCAAAACATTCCAGTAAAAAGCCATACTAATGATGGATTCTGTCTGTCCCTATAAATAAAAATATGTCCAAAATTAATTATGTACATGAATATCAATAACAATATTACATAGCTTTAAATTATAAGAAAAAATATTTGGATCTATAAAACTTTTCATTTTAAACAAGGAACCAGGAAAGATCTCAGTTTTTAGAATCTGAGTTAAAACACATAACTAAAATGTAGTAATAAACTTGAACTACATATAGTAGAAAACTTAACTTGGAATTAAGCAGCAAAGGATATAAAGTTAAAATTCACAGAAGAAATACAAGTTATTAATCTTGTTAAATTTAAGAAGTAATCAAACATGCAAAATAAAAATATTTTCATGCTTGAAATAATAAAGATTTAAAAAATGGCAAATCTCAACATTTGTATGAATGCAGTAGTATGACAATGTATGTTAGTATAATCTTTCAGAAAAGTTAATTTGATAATATTTATATCAAGAGTCTTAAAAATAATCATAATCATTGACTCAGTTATTTGACATGTAGGCATAAATCTTTAAGCAATAACCAGAAATGCAAAGAAGAATTCATAAAAATGATTTAGTACTACTTATAATAGTAGAAAAAGTGGAAGCAATCTAAAGACTCTTAAGTAGAAGAACATTTAAATTCATTCTCCTGTGGCTATAGGTTAGACTATTATATACACATTTAAATGATTTTTCAGTATTTTTATGGTATGGGAAAATCCTCACAATATAATGTTTATTGAGCAAACAAAACTGTAGATGCATGTACAAATATCCATTTACATAAAAATACATACATTCAACACACCAGATAGTAAATGAATAAAAAAGTTATGGAGTCTGTAGTTTTTAGGCCTTCTTTTATCATCAGAGGAATTTTAATAATTGCTTCTTTTTCAAATCAATAATAATAATCAGTTAATGGGCACAGAAAGAGATCAAACCTGAAGTTTAGGACATCAAATGATTGATTACTTAGACTGTTAATATACTGCTCAGTCTTTTTGAAATCACTGATTTATAATCAGAAAAGAAAAGCTAGTAAGAAAGCAATATATAAAATTTGTCCTAATAGAAGTAGTTAGGAGAGTCATTTATTTGGGGTATAAAATAATACCAACAATATTCTACAATGACATACCGAAAACATTAATTCAGTTCATGAACATGGGAAAAATAGCATGAAAAGAAATTCTATTACTCACTTTCTTGCTAAACATATATTTGCCCAAATTGCGAGGGCTTGGATGTTGAATGAGAGTTCGGTCCTCATATTTGTTACTTGAGAACTGCAAAAAAACAACCTAACTTATTGTCGGCAGAAAACAAATTAGGTTAATTCCAAATAAAATATTCTTTGTAGAATACATTTGATTACAACTGTAAAGGCTGGGGTCAGGTTTCAAAATCGTTTTTTCTTCTTTTAAATTTGGGAGAAAAAGTACCATAGAAAGAGGTATAGTTCTAAGATGTCTTCCAATTGTAACGTTTAGTTACCAACTTACATAATTTGGGATAAGATCAGAACAAATAATTCTTCTGTATTTTTTGTTTTGTTTTGTTTTGTCTTTTGCAGACAGAGACTTGCTCTGTGACCTGGGCTGGAGTGTGGTGGCGTCAGCCTAGCTCACAGCAACCTCAAACCCTTGGGCTCAAGCGATCCTCCTGCCTCAGCCTCCCGAGTAGCTGGGACTACAGGTGCATGCACCACATCTAACTAAATTTTCTGTTTTTTTGTAGAGATGGGATTTCACTCTTGCTCAGGCTGGTCTCCAACTCTTGGCTTCAAGCAATTCTGCCACCTCAGTCTCCCAAAGTGCTAGGATTATAGGCATGAGCCGCCCTGCCTGGCCTCTTCTGTATTTTTGATATAGGTATGCTATCTAGAATATCCCTGACTGGTTTGATAAGAAGTTGTTTGAAATGAGTTTTTTAACTTTCTTCTGTTGGCAGTGTAGACATGGCCTCCAGTGATTTAGCAAATCAAAACAAAATTCCAATAGCTTTTTGGACATCCAATCATGAAGGAAACAAAGCCTAATAGAGGTGATCTCCAACCATTCCTTTTTTGGGTAATCTTCTTTAAAAGGCTTCCTTGTTTTCTATATTATTTGGTTTGAAAAACATTTAAGCAATTTCAGAGAAATGTATTCTTTTTTTCCTTATGATTAAACTAAATTCTTCCATTAACTAATAAGCCTTTTCAGAGGTTATCTGAGTTCTAAAATAGCTTCTGCTCTAGTAGTCTCTGATTTTTAAAATAGAAACAATTCTCTACACTATCTCAAAGAACTTTCTTCTCCCTACTGGCAATTTTACTGGAGAAAATGTGATGCCCTAATTATGGAAACCATACAATGTGTATTTTACTAATGGAGACTCATCTACTATGAGCAGATATCCTTACTTATTTTCAAATACACTTGAAAAATTGATTCCAGCATGAGGCCCATTTCAAACCATTCTTCAAAAGGAATGAAGTCAGTCTCAAAATTAATTCTTCAAAATCTGTTGCTTAAATGTAAGCTCCAAAAGATGGTCACTGCCTAAGGTTAGATTCAATAATTTCCTTGTACAGGATTGCAATTTGGAGATATGCATGGGGAAAGAATTTAATTTGCTTGACTGGAAAAGGGTAGATGATTAGGTTCCATCATTTTGAAGGATTTTCTCGTAAGTTAATTATGAGTTGCCTTTTTCAACACTTCTGTCCACCTGAAACAATTAAAGACTAGAAATTCTCCCTCAGAGGATTATGCCTCCATTCTACATGATGATTTGGTTTGAACAAATAGCATGGGTGTGAGTGGTCATCACTTTTGTCAAGCCTTTTTTTCTGGGTATACGACCTACTATTATTTTAATGTAAAGGAAGCCTTTAAGTCTCGCAATAGATGACTTTTATGTGCAAACTAATAAAAGTTAAATGTATGGATTACTCTTGAGAGTTCTTTGGAGTCTGTGTGGGATTTGTTAAGGCAATATATTTGTTAATGTTATAACAACCTCTGGAAGGTAGGTAGAAAACAGCAGGCAGTGAGTCTTTCTGCATTGAGTAAAGCAGAATAAAATGAAAGCTCAGAGATGTTGAAAAGGCTGTCTTTATCTTTTAAAGGAAACTAAGCTTCTTGCTACCTTCTCCCCCCTAAAAAAGAAAAAGGAGTCACAAAAGTCTCATACATAAAAATAATTATTTTAAATCAATTGTGAGAACCATCAAAAGTTTATGTAAAAATAATTAATGTCAGGGAAATATTTTCAAGATGTAAGGTAAAGTGAAAAGCAGCAGGCTAATAAAACAATATGTATAGTATGATCCTATTTTTTAAAGCAAAAATATAAAAAAGTGGAAAGATACAGACAAAAATGTCAACAGATTAATAATTGTGATTTTCTGTTATATGTTGGAATTATAGGTAATTTTAATTTTTTTTTTTTTTTTTTTTTTGAGACAGAGTCTCGCTCTTATTGCCTAGGCTAGAGTGAGTGCCATGGCGTCAGCCTAGCTCACAGCAACCTCAATCTCCTGGCTCAAGCAATCCTTCTGCCTCAGCCTCCCAAGTAGCTGGGACTACAGGCATGCGCCACCATGCCCGGCTAATTTATATATATATATATATATATATATATATATATATATATATATTAGTTAGCCAATTAATTTCTTTCTATTTATAGTAGAGACGGGGTCTCGCTCTTGCTCAGGCTGGTTTCGAACTCCTGACCTCGAGCAATCCGCCCGCCTCGGCCTCCCAGAGAGCTATAATTTTCTTATTTTTACTTACTTGTATTTTCTAAATTTTCTCTAACGGTTATGTACTTCTTTTTGGAATAGGAAACAAAACTTGTTTAAAAAGAAAAGAAGAAAGGATGGGTCGAAGGAAGCAAATAAGTAAGTAAACAAGAAAGAAATTATAAGAACCCATGAACTGCCTTACACAAAAGGTTGAAATATTCTCCCCATAGTTTTTTAAAATAGCCCCAAGAGTTACAAATTAGTCATTAGTTAGGAGATCCCTTTAGTGTTAAGGACACCTTTTCTTCCAAAATTTTATATTGAGAATATTATAATTAGTATGGGTATTTTTCAAGTTGGTATGAATATTTTTCAAGTTGTCTTAATCTGTGAAGATTTTAAAGCAAATATTAACTCATTTTTCAAAGAATCCTATTGGATAATATAGATCAAAATATATTTGCTTTAAGCTGGCTCTAATAAGGTTGGATGTTAAAAAGATGTAAGTCAAAAATAGAGCTCAGACAAGGACAGCCTAAAGAAAGTCATAGGAGACATTAAAGACATTAAGCTCTGAAGAATTAAAAACCAAAATAACAAGACAGTAATTGTTCAAATTGTGCTAAATACAATGTTACAAAATGTCTCCAAAAGAAGGACAATAAAAAACAAGAACAAAGAACAAATCATTTATAAAGCAACATTACATTGGGTAATTTTGAAGCTAATTGAAAGTTGAAACATTACAGTTTTATAAATGCTCTATGTAGTCTAATATTCTCATTAACTGTTGTATTTTTTCTTTTTAAATTTTTTATCTTATTTCTTTTTAATTTTTTTTTTTCTGCTTGGTTAGAGATGGGGTCTCACTCTTGCTCAGGCCGATCTCAAACACCTAAGCTCAAGTTATCCTCCCACCTTGGCCTCCCAGAGTGCTAGGATTACAGGCGTGAGCCACCATGCCCAGTCATTCACTGTTATATTTATTGCTCACTTTAAGCTTTATCTTATTAAAGGAAATGCTAGAATATTTCATAGTATGGTTGGCTCTCTGTAGCCATGGGTTCTGCCTCCATGGAGTAAACCAACTTTGGATCAGAAATACTCAGGAAAAAAAACTGCATCTATACTAAACATATGAAGGCTTTTTTTCTTGTCATTATTACCTAAACAATATATTATAACAACTATTTACACAGCATTTACATTGTATTAGGTTTTATAAGTAATCTAGAGATAACTGAAAGTATATAGGAGGGATGTGTGTAGGCTATATACTTATACTACCCCATTTTATATCAGAGATTTGAGAATCTGTATCTCCAGATTTTGGTATCCCTGGGAGGTCCTGGAACCAATTCCCCACAAATATTGAGGGACAACCGTATATACAAACAATTGTTAACTGTAGAGGTGAAAACTACTTCTCAGACATACTTCACAAAGAGATGAACTCAGAAATCCCTAAAAATTTTAAAGGAATAGAGAGTTCATTTAAAAATAGTTTAAATATTTCATACTCACAGCAACATTTTAGACATACTTGATCCTATTTCAGATTTGGCCTAAACAAAAAAGAGAAAAGTTTATTTGCACAAGCATTAAACTGAAGCTTTATTAGCCTACCATATTTTAATGATCTGATTTAAAAGATATAAATTTTAAATGTACAATGCAACAACTCTCTTCATTCAAAGTCTTTACTTCAGAGCATTATTGAATTTTTAAAAAGAAGTCACCGTTGGCCGGGCGCGGTGGCTCACGCCTATAATCCTAGCACTCTGGGAGGCTGAGACGGGCGGATTGTTCGAGGTCAGGCGTTCGAAACCAGCCTGAGCAAGAGCGAGACCCGTCTCTACTATAAATAGAAAGAAATTAATTGGCCAACTAAAATATATAGAAAAAAAAATTAGCCGGGCGTGGTGGCACATGCCTGTAGTCCCAGCTACTCGGGAGGCTGAGGCAGCAGGATTGCTTGAGCCCAGGAGTTTGAGGTTGCTGTGAGCTAGGCTGACGCCACGGCACTCACTCTAGCCTGGGCAACAAAGCGAGACTCTGTCTCAAAAAAAAAAAAAAAGAAGTCACCGTAAACTAACTTGGACATCATTTAGGAAAAATTTTAGAAATAATAGTTGGCTAAAAATCAGTTAAACTATTCCAGTATGAATAATTAACACATTAATGAATTAATAGTCTTTTTACATTTCTGTTATAGACTCTCTTTAAGCTCTTCAGACACTCTGATTAAAGTTCATTACAACCTGATAGTCTATAATTTCATAATTCTGTGTGATTTATACAAATTTCAAATCTGAAATGGCCCTCAGAAAATATTTTTATGAAATAACCAATATAAGTAAAGCAAAATATGAATTTAAAGTGTCAAACTCCTAAGTCAAAATAATTATAATTATCCTTTTATTAATCTATTTTATTATGAAATAACAGCTATATGTAAAAAATATATATGGTGTATATTTAAGGGATAAAAGAGTTTTTAAAAAATCTACAGACCTACCATTCATTTAAAAAATAAAACCTCATCAATAACATTTCACCAAGCCCTCATAGGCCTCTTCTTCCTTATCCCCCAGTGGTAACTACTACCTTGAATTTGGTGTTAATTATTCCCCTTTTTATAAATATATTGTTTTGCTACTTTTGTATGTGCCCTTGAACAATAGATTGTTTAGTTTTTGCATGGTTTAGAATTCTGTATAAATAGTATCATATACCATGTACTCTTCTGAGACTTGCCTTCTTAAGTAGAACACAAAAAACACAAACCATGAAAGAATAACTTGATATAACATCTATAATAAAATAAAAAATCTTCTGTTTATCCTTTCATTTTTCAGATAACCTTTAATGCAACTACATTTAATATATATCTTAGGGAAAGTAAGGCCTTTTGAATCTCTTTAGGGCACACTGTTTCCATTAGTGAACTCAAATTATGAAGCATTTACAGATTTCTGAAACTAAATACTAACATGAACACTGCTCATCAAATATATATATGTATATATATGTACACACATACACACACACACATATATATATAAAAAAAGTGATTTTGTTAAGGTAAATTTAAAAATTTGATTTTTTTCCCCCTTTAATCTTTTCCAAATATTTTTCTTCACAACTTAAGTGCCCACAGTGGTACTCAGTGCTAACAGGACTGAAATGCTTCAACTGCAGATATGGCAGACTCTTTTTAATGCTTGCTTTCCTGAAAAGTATATTTAGGATATACAACAGTAGGATGGATGTCAAGTCAAGGGATTCTAATTTTTTTCTATTATGTCAAAGGCCACATTTCAAAAGAGAAAGTCAGTTACATAAATAACTGAAATGAAAATTCTATCCATTGTCATTAACAAATACTAATTGTTTTTGTTTTTGTTTTCCCATCAAGGCCCAGGCAGAGCACTGAAGTTTTGCCACTTATTTCCTAAGAAGGGATTTAAACATAAATTTACCAGGCTGAATGTTCCATATTCTTCCCTGAGAAAATGCGTCAAAAATCCTAGCAGTGTTGTCTGGTCTCCCCAGGTCCACCGGGCTTGGTTGAGGTAGGATGAGATAGGAAGGTAGACATAAGGCAGCAAACCAGCAGAGAAGTACAGACCCAACCTCAGCAGAAAGCCCAGGGAGAGTTCCTGCAGCAGAGCACATTGGGTTGTAGAACAATGTTTATTTTAGTCGATTCATCCTGGAACTTCAAGAATACATCAAGGAAAACATCAAATGTGTTTACTCAGAGCTGATCTCTCAATTTATATTAAGTCACCACAGAATACTATGTTAAACCTTCTGATTACTGTGGATTACTAGAAAATTGCATCCGCCTGAACTCCTTTGCATGGCAGGTGAAATCTGAGTGAAGCAAATAATATTAGCAAAGACTCACGAGTATCATGTTTATTATATCTCTTACATTTAAAACCATGTCATGACATGCAGCATCGCATAGCTGAGATAACCCAGTAGGAAGTGATTAAGTGTTGTTTGGCTGATTTTGAATATGCCTGAAATACTATTCTAACACCAATTCACTTCATCATCATCATCAGGATGTTACTTTATTATGATTATACATTGACAATATAAGTCTTTCAACAAGAGTTCTGGACATTTCATAGACATGTTTGGCACAAATGAAGCTAGCTTTTACATAACCTCTAAGCTCATCCAAATGCTTTTTCCCCTCAATTTACATATAGGATAGAGTACTAAGGGAAATTTGTTGTTATATGTAACAATGTTGCCTGATATACCTTATTTGGGGGAATATATTTCTCATCTGTACACTTCTAAAAGAGGACAGTATGTACAAAGTTTTATAAAGACGAAGTCCAAAAGAGTATGAATTCTGGTCTATTGAACCAATTCCAGTATTTGAACCAAGATACCAAGTTGCTTTAGTAACTTGGAAAGGCATCTCTTATAAATATCGTATTTGCAGATTGCCAGTTTTTTCTTTACGAAAAAGAGAAATCCATATTTCTCTTGAAATGAGGATGAAAATAAGAAGCAAGGTTTGCATTCGCCAGAAGTAGAACAGGCAGCTGATTTATATTAGTATTTTCAAATAAACATCTTAATTGGAAATGAAGTGTTTTATTATAGTACTGATTTCATTTGAGATTTCCATAGCAGTAATGAGATGCATAAAAAATGATGGCATGAAAAGAGTATAAGAAATAACTAATCTAACAATATGCCTTTGCTATTCTTAAAAGTGATTTTAAAGAAAGTAAATGTTTATTTTGGCAGTTCCTGTATATTATGAAGGTGAATTTAGAATGGTAAGATGAACTTGCTGCAGAATTTTCTTTTTGTGTGAAAAATAAACAGGGAGACAGCTATTACTGAGAGTTGGGAGTGGTTCTTAGTCCTAGCTGCACATTAGAATCACCTGGGGCAGCTTTTAAAAAATAGTGATGTCTGGGCCTCACCCCAGATCAATTCTATCAGAATTATTTTGGGGTGGATCACATCCCCAAATAATCACACATACATATACATACATACTTACTATATAGGTGTGTACATATATATGTACCAATGCGTACATACACACACAAATACACAGTTTTGTAATGCTTCCCAGATAATTTAAGTGCACAGGCAGGGCTGAAACCACCTCATGCAGGACTTCCTGCTCTGCCTCAAATCCAACCATCCTGCCACTTCATTGTCAGACCTTATTTTCTAGCCTCGGCTATTTAAATAATGGAAATGAAGGTCTGTTGAAGAGCCACAGTTCTCAAAATCTCATCATTCACTGGTAGCTCACCTCAGCACAGGGCAAACAAGCCCCTTAGTTCAGGCTCCCAAACTGTCAACTGAGTCCTGCATGCTTTATAGAAAGTATATGGTTTTCCTTTTAGTCAACGAACATGAAATATGTGCTTTTTAGGTCTTTTTGAGAGAATGCACCTGTCTGATGTCTGTTCAGGTCTGAAGCCTGGCAAAGATGACCAATACTAGAGTGGGACATGGTGTCCATCTACCCCCATCTGTGCATCCATTGGTTCACAAGACAAATATTTGGGCCTCCCCAGGGTTATATTCCATAGAAAAGTTTCACTGAGTTATAGTTCATATCTCCATTTTTAAATCAAGCGTTTATATAATAAAAGACCATATAAAGAACTTTCTGTATACTCTATAAAATCAGTGTTAAAGACACTGCTTGTTTTATATCCCTTACATAAGGACTTACATGACTGACTTCACAGAATTCAGTTCCAAGGAAAAGTTGCTCTTTCCAGTCAACTGTTATATTTCCCTTTTTATTTACTTTTTAATCACATAATAAGAATTTTATAATCTTTATGTTATCCTTTTTGCTTTGCTGTTAAGAAGCTCAGAACCAAAATGTGTTCAAGTACAGTAAATACGGTTATCTAAAAGCTTGGGTATAATTATGACCCTATTTCTATATACTAATTTTATTTGCTTTGTATGTTTTCTATTATAATTTAATTATATAATTAACAAATAATAAAATGGCAAATAAAGCTGAGTTTGTTCACAAACAATAAATAAAGTAAAATGACTCCAGCACTGGCTTTGTATACAGACTATTTTAACCTCTGGGTACCTATATCTCCCAATGCCTAATGAAGCAATTTTCCTATGTTGCTTTTTCCTGCCATTTTAATTAACAATCATGTTTTCTTTCAGAGAAAGAAGAAATGAAAATAAATCATTTTTGATTCTAGGGACATAGATTCTGAGAAAATAGGAGTGCTATGTAGCAGAGATTTTATTATTTAGCTCATAATAGCAGGGATGTTGGCTGCTGTGTTGAGAGCTAAGTCTCCAGCACCTGGAGCAGGCCTATGGCACAGAGCAGGGACTCGACAAAGCGCTGAATGAATGGAGTGTTACCAGCGCACCACTCTGTGTCTTAGAATGTATAGTAAAACAATTAAGGAAATTCCATGTTGTTGCTTTAAGTCCTTTCAGCCTATTTTCATCGAGGTGCTATTCAGAATCATGAAACTATGAAACAGGCCAGATGCCACTGCAATCAATACTGCATAATTTTTGTAAATCCTATTTTTTTCAGTCAATATTGGTAGGGCCCAAGGTTATTTATGCTCTCCATGAAACCCAAGAAAAATTAAACCTTCATGTTTTCTGATGATACAAATGTCATATAAGATCTAAGTAAAATATTATGAATTTTAATTTTTGCAAAATTCACAAACCTACCTTCTCTTTTAAAAGTCGAACGAGAATCCAAGGTATTATGCACAAAATATAGAGCACTATTGTGTGCTGATTACATAAGCTAAGGCCACAGCAGAAAGCACCAATTTTAGCTATCTGAAAATAAATAAAAGAAAAAAATCTAAGTTAAAAATTCACCAGTACTCTAAGTAAATACAAAATGCCAATTTTTATATTAAAACCAAGCATTTGTATTATAGATCAGGTTAAAATCAACCCCTCAGATGCAATTAATTATATACTTTTAACAGTCACTAATATTTATCACCATTATTTTTGTTAATATTTTTGACATCAAGTAATTGCAGTTTGAACTTAAATAATTGTCTTCAAACTGACTTTTAGAAAGTCCTGTATGATGACTAGATAAGTTCTAACAATAATAGGGTATTACATAATTCTTATTCAAGTAAAATCTATAACTGAAGTTCAGTAATTGTTTTACTTTTTCTCCTATTAAATAAATGAAATATAGCACCTTTTATCAATTAGAACCCTGGTTATTTCACAGTGGTGTTTTTATTTTTTTTTTTTAACATGTGTTAGTTTTATAATTGACAAAGAGTATCTCTTTCAACAAACTCTAGTCAAGTTCCTCTGAACTGTCTCTACAACTAGGCCCTGACTTTTGGGTTTCCATGTTTATCTCTGCATTGTCCAGTTTTAGCAAGAATCCTACTAAGTCAGTTTTGCCAGAACCTTCCACCCTCAACATGTGATCACACTCGATATCTGATCAGGTTGCTCATCCTCCTGGGTGATGGGTTCCCTGGGTGATGTCTGATCTCTCTGGTCTGCCTTCAGCAAGGATCCAGTTCAGTTGGTTACCCAGAATTTCCCTTTACCCCTGATGTTTCCTCTCAGTGATTTCCTACCCACTGACCCACATCCTGATCTTTGGCTATAAATTCTCACTCTTCCGTGTTATATTTAAAGTTGATCCCGACCTCTCTCCCCTAGTACAAAACCCTACTGCAGTAGCCCCTATACCTCAACTGGAATCAAGTCTGCCTTACCACTCTTTAACAAATGTATTGAAGAATTCTTCTTTAACATAAACAGAAATTTTTTAAGCAAAAAAAAAAAAAAAAGATCTTTAATAGCATCACAGATCTATTTATGGGAATCATAGATAAACCATGATGTTCTTTTGTTTCTATTCTTTAATGACACAAGGCTGCCTATACTAAGCTGTTTTAGCATCTTTCAATGTACAGACTGTAAGCTCTTAGAAGATAGGATTCTTTCACATTTCAAATTATTCTGACAATAATGTCTGCCTTAAAATTCACTGTAATCTCTTCTGAACTACTTCATATCTACATTTGATCCTCTCGTTTTAGTTAAAAAAATTACAAATTTGACTTTTTTTTGGCAACTAGGGAGTGAGTCAGTATATCATAATTTAAGGGGGGTCAGTCTAGAGCTTGGCACCTTATGATAACACACACACAACAAAAGCCTATCTTTCCCATGCAACACAAAGGAATTTCATAATCCCCTTAATCTCCAAAAAACTTCTGAACTCCGAGGGCAAAAAAAAGTTTTTATGTTTTATAAGGGCTATCATGGTTCCATCCACAAGAAAAAAACTGAGAACATTTTCTCTCGCAACACGCCTAGATTACCTTGACAGTAATCAGCATAGACAAACAGTATTTAAGCGAAAGTTAAAAAGAAATACAGCATCTGTCTAAAAATTAAAACAAATAAACGATTTCACTTTGATCAAAATAGGTTACCTTTGATCTCTCCTTTGCAGATGCCGCCTCCTCAAAATGTACAGTAAGAGCCATAAGCAGCCCCACAAACAGATTGTTTAAGCTAAAAACCTCTGCTGCAATGGACCACTGCCATGTTAGACGAGAAAATGAAAACACCCCCGCAGCAAGGATTCCTCCAGCATATGAGCCAGAAAGCCTGCAAACACAGATAACATGAAATCTTCTTTCCCAACAAAAAGAACTAACTTTATTTTCCTTTTTATGAACTGTACCAGCAGAAATTATGACAGTCACCCAGCACTATCCCAACACATTATATGGCTAATACATTACTTCGTGTAATGATTTCTTTCAACGGATTTTAATTAGGAAGTTCATATGTTAACCTATTAACAAACAAATAAACAGACCTATGGATAGAACGAGGGTTAGTCTTCAGATGTAACCGCTAGGATTCAAGCCAGTTCAGAAAACCTGAAAAGGTAGTAGCTACAGAGATAACAAACCTACGTCATTCTCTTGCTGTATCTGTGAAGAAGGATGGTCTGAATAAGATCTAAATATGTTTAATTGTAACAATGAGTTAAATGGCAAAATATTTCTTCAGGAAAACTCACTCTCACTTGGGCTGGAATATGCAGGTCTGGATTCCTTCTACTCTTATCTCTCAATGTATCGCAAAGAATGTCTTTGTCACATACTTGGTGATTTTAAGTTCTTGTTCAGCAAAGTTCTTAGTTTGTGATGGCTTTTTCCTTAGACAAAGTTGAAGTTAAAAATAATAGTTTTTTTAAATGAGGGAGATGGGAATGTGAAGTTCAATAACACCAAAAGAATCAAATGCTACACTTATAAACAAATTTCTCACCACCCACCAAATACCAACAAGAGCCATATATTTTAAATCAATCAGGAATCTGGATCTCAATTCAGAGATCTGATTTGAGATTGGTAGTGTGGTTGAATATACTAGAGCATATTAAGCCAAAACCACTTTCCATTTCACTATAAATCTAAAAATATGAAAATTAAAGCTATTACCAAATATCTATTTCTAACAGAAAATTCAGCAAGCAGTACTATATCTAGTGATTATGACCTTCTATAGTCCCAAGTCATTGATTTTCAACTATATTATTTTGTATAAAAAGTTATGGAGTATTTCTATGGCTTTTAATCGACCATTATAGGAAAAAGCAATTAAATAAAAATTTTGATATCATCAAACCTGTTTTTCCTTTGAGTTTCTATTTGCAATTTATTTCTGTTTTCTGTCCCTTATAAAAATCAGAAATTTCCTATTTCTCTCAGTTTCCCATTCTCCCAGTAATCCAGATTTCAAACACTAACATCATTTCTTCCTTCCAAATTCCTTTCCTATCTATTCATTCCTTTTGATTTATATTCCTACTGCCTTAGACCCAATTCTTTTAACAGTTTTCTAACTTGTCTTCTGTTTTTCAATCTATTCTGCAATATCACATCATATCAAATTTCCTAAAACATACTCTTTATGACTACACAGCCCCCAAAACATAAGGACTCTTCATTGCCTATAGGATAAAGTCTAAATCAGTCAGCCTGGAATACATACTTCCAATAAACTGGATCCTACCCATCCACTAATTGCCAACATTATTATCACCACTGAACAGTCAGGCTCATCAAAATTTCCTAATAAGACATGCTGATTCCTAGCACTCTACCTTTGCTTATTCTGTACCCATGAGTTGAATATTCTCCCTGCTTCTATTTATTCAAATCCTACTTTCTTCTCAAGCCCTAGGTTTCTAGCTCATCTCTATACATCTACAGCATTTATCTGCTTCTACCAATTTTTTTGATGTTGTTTTTGAAATGTGAATTGGAGTTAAACTTCATTTATATTAGAAGCATCTAGCCCTAAGCACACAGAGGAAACTTAGGGAATAAGAGAACAACTGAAGTGTTTCTAATGTTTTTAAAGGAACTTCTATGTCTTATCTGCCAATATTATTTTGGAAAGTCAGCATAAGATACAAGATTCCTTCCTCCACTTAAAACATAAATTAGCATCCTTGGAGAAATGGCTTATTCCAGAGCTGGGGTAGCTGGGGTAGCTAAAGCACAAAATTAGTCTGAAACATCTTGTCCCAGAAAGTAAAGAAATGCTCAAAGGGCGACGGGGACATGACAGAAGGACATGGGAGCCAGCAGAAAGGGGCTCCCACTGGCCAAATCGGGGATAACTTGAACATCAAAATAATTATCATAATAGCTTGTAACTCATTGAATAAATAAGAATCCATGAACCTACAGTGATATAAATAGGGGAGAAGGAATGCATTTGCCTTTCCATAGAAAGTCAACTAGTAATTGCAGAAGAAATGATGGAATTAGAAATCACCTTTGGGCAAGTATCTTAACAACAATCAATGAATACCAAAACTAGAGGGTAAAATTTTGGAGTAACAGAATATGTACATAGTCCTGAGGTATCTCCCTATAAATAGATTAATTACAAAGGGAAAAAATTACCATTACAGTGGTGAGAACTGGCAGACACAATGTCAGCCACGTGACCAAAGATAACAGTAGCAGTAAGGGGACAAACCAACACCGTGTGCTTCCCGGTCTATTCCAGTGAGAAGGAAACAGCATTATTTCTGTGATGTTCCTGCCGGAAATGTTACCCAAAGCCAAGCAGAAGAAAGTCCTGCTATAAATAAATCCTCAATAAGAAAACTCAAGATTTACTTATCTACAATGATTTTTAACACATGTTATTACACTCAGGAACATATCCTAAAGTGTTTGAACTATTGACATTAATTATTGGAATTATCAACTATGTTAACTGTCTTTTCAAATATTTCATAAGGTTTTAAAAATTGAAGAGTAATGTAAAATTATTGACTTCAGGGATAAAATTTATCCAGTCACTTTAGATTATTAAACATAGGCAATTTGCATTTTATTGAAGACTAATCCCACATCAGCAAGGTCTAAAATCTGAATTTTCTCTCCCCATCTCCCCACAAGGTCAGGATGGCTTTATAATGAATAATCCATATACTCTTTTACCTGATTTTCCTTGGTATCAGAGAAATAATTTGTAAGACTGCAGAGTAAAGTTATAGAAGATAAGGTGGCTGATGATAAAACCATTAATGGCAATCAAACCTATAATTTCAACCTTTCAGCATCAAATGAACTTGCTCAAAAATCAAACTAAGTCTATAGCAATTTGCATTGTAGTCCTAATGTAAATTGCACACAAAAGCGTAGTGGATCTTTTAATTTGTTTGTTTCCCAATAGCAGTGGAAAAGGACCTGATTTCTCCTAGTGAGCTCCTGTCATCTGGCTTTTTAGTTCTACCCATCCTAGTGGGTATGAAGTGGTATCTCATTAAGGTTTTCATTTGCATTTTTCTAATGGCTAATGATGCTGAGCATCTTTTTCTATGTTTATTGGCCATTGGTATAACTTCCTTGGAGAATATTTATTTAGGTCCTTTGCCCATTTCTTACATTGGGTTATTTGTCTTTTTATTATTAAATTGTAGAGTTCTCCCAATTTCCTTTTACTATGTTTCTTTTCTGCTAACTACAGCCAGAGTCAACTGCTTGCAACCAAGAACCCTGACTAAAATATACTGTCTTCCCTCTTTCATATAATTTCTATTATGTTTTCAAGGGAAACTGTGTGAGAAAATTCTGAAGATGAAAGGTGATGCTCTCTTAGTCTTGTGGGATCCAGAAGAGAGGGAGCATGCCCCTAAGAGCAGAAAGTTATGTGTGCATCCATACATAGGACATGGGAAGGGACGTAGAATGGGAAGGGTTTTGGATGCCCGATTGCTTTACTATTCATGGTTGTCATAGAAGAATCTATGTAGGCTAAGCCCATATGAATTTCTTTCATTTCAACAGTTTTTTCCAAGTCAAACTCTGAAATCTCCTTAAAATGCACATATTTCAACACACTGCCTTTAGAAGTTTGCTTTATGCTAAGATTCAGAATCAGTCAACAACTACTGGCCGTGTAACATATAAAAACGAGTGGATTAAGAAAAGTAGAGATAATTTGAAACATCTGTTGTAGAAAACCTCTGCAAACTCAAGAGAGACACACACAGGCTTTGTGGGTAGCAATAAATGCTCAGGTGAGGCTGGAGACTACAGAGGCTGCAGCGATAAAGGGACAGCATCAGTCTGCACGGCCACGCAAAGGTTTGCAGCAGCCTGCGGTAGGCCACGAGAAGCTAGATGGAGCCAGCCTTAAGGGCTTTACTAGGTGAGAGGGACAGAAGGACAAGAGGGAAAGTTTTAAAGTAATGGGCCATGAAGCCTAGACTAGATAGAGAAGGAAGTGAAGCCAGCAGGGGGCTGATGGAGGCGGTAAGGAGGATGAGCAAAGGGTTGTAGGTCTCAATTCCACAAAGGACAGCAGGAGGCATCAAGGAAATGAGTGAAATGAAAGCTAAAGTCATGCCAGGGAGTGAACAGTAGGCTGGGGAAGGGAACATTAAATTGTGTGAGAATGGAACAGGCCAGTTAAGCAAGATTGAACTCTATTGTTAAAAGCAGTCCATGATGGAAGAGAGTTTAATACAGCTGTTGTCAAAAATTGTAAAACTTTCATTAAAACTAAGGATTTGTCCTGAAAGCCAGGCAGTGGTTGGTATACCATGCATTAATAATAAGTCTGCAGGCTGAGTGCAATGTACAAGTACAGGTGTGTGGCCCAGTGCCACAACTTCACACACACGCATGCTAACAAGATGTGAGCAAGCTGAGTCTGTGATTTGTGCTGACCTGTAAAAGGATGATGTCAGCAGTGGTAAGAATGATGATATCCTAAACACCTTGGAGGGCTTCAATTCATTCACTGATTCTGTAGGAAAGCAGTCTCATTATATTGCTCAAGTCATGCTTCCTGCACATTATCTGAGCATGCTTCATTTTCACCTTAGTGAGACAGAGATCCGTGACTACAAAGCAAGCTGACACCAAGGATGATTTCGTGATGGCAAGTTTCAGGGTCAGGACTTAGCTCAGTATCTCACACTGTCCACACCTACAGCCTCTACCCCCTGGGTCTCTAGCACTCTACTGAAGTTGCTCTCACTGAGGTCCCCAAGGACAACAGGCTCTCTGGACCTCTCTGCTGTGTTGCTCTACTGAGTTGATGCATGGGACCCCATATCCCCCTGG